GAATTTCAGCGGTAAAGGACGGGGGGGGGGGGGCTGGCAAGGGACAACGTATATTCGTTCGGATGGAACGTAAAAATAAACCCTTGACAGTTGGAATAAGAGTAGGCCGTAGTTCCGCTGTCCGGGCAAAATTTCCTTCATAGCACACTGTATAGATGTCCGTCTTCATGAACCCAATCGGGGGAGAACAGTAGGACGCTAAACCCCATTTCATTTCATTTTTTTAAAACCAGTAATATCCGAGCACTTGCATGTAAAACATGGTATTTAAAGCCGCCTAAATGAAACTGCTTAAAAGTAATATTGCCAAGTTTTTCCAGACACTCATAATTTTTGATTAAACACAACTTTCTGCCAATTTTTGAAGGCAAATTTATATTTGGGGCTATGTGGCTGGGTTCTGTATTTCCCGTTTATCGGTTGATTTATTATGGTAGAACAAAAAGGGGTGAGGGTAAATTTACTTTCAAAAAGTTGCCAGGGCTATACGGGATGAAAGGGGGTTGCCAGCTGTATAGCTGCAGCCGATAGCTCAATTAAATCAACCTATTCACTGGGATCAGCCCACTAAACCAACCAGACATTAATCTGACAACTAGGAATTGAGTTTCAACGGAGATTAGTTGCAAGGTCTCTTCACCGAAACTATACACCATTAAGAAATGATTTTAAATTCTTCATTTCTGGAAAGATATAAACTACATCAAAGGGTTAATTCAATAATAGAATACATTATTTTGGTGAGTGTCGTATTTTAAGCATTGCAAGTATCTGATTGACCACAAGATGGCAATATAAATAAAGAGAGAGAGAGAAATGGGGTTTAACGTCCACTCGACACAAACTAGGTCATTTCGGGACTAACATATGGTTTAATTTTATTTCAATAATTCGCTTGCGCGTAGTGGTCTTTAGCTGTGGGAGGAAACCGGAGGACCCGGAGAAGACCCACGAGGTTGGACAGGCAACCCTACTCCTTGTCACGTACAACCGGGGATTCGAAACCACGCCAGTCGACTCAATGACAGACTTTATGATACAGCGCGCGCACGCAAACCATTCAGCCATCCAACCCCCCGGCAATAATCATTAATACTGCAATATAATTATTTTTCATTTATCTAGATTTAAATAATATATATTTTTATAAAGGAAAATTTGCGGCCGACAAGAAATAAAATTCTTCATGAGTAATTATACATGTCTGAATTTTGCAAAATATGATCATTTAGCTACCAAAACAGAATATATTTCAATGTGAATTGGGTATGTATAAGTCTCGCCACCCTTCCTGTTTTCGGAGTATCATTTAAAAGGTTCTTCATTCGAACTAAATCACTACTTGATTATTCGGCGAGTATCAAGTAAATATTTGAATAATATTCGAATGGTTTGTGATGAAAATACGAGAAACCAGAACTTCAAATGAATACAAGTTTAACGAGACACTGATGAGATTGGAACATTATGACTATATTATTCATTACGTCTTTCATTACATACAAAGGGCTAATTGTGAGAATGGAACCTGGGAAAACATCTATGTTTGCGTATTCCGAAACCTTCAGTAACGTTAAGCAGCAGAATGTAAGACTTGTGCACACACAATTGTTAGTTTATAAATTATAATGTACAGGGACCGCTTGCTCAAAGCTCCGTTAACTTATAATGGCTCGTCAACATGAAGCTAACGGATCGTTATCTTTAAAGGAGAGAAAGCCTGTCGCTGGAAGCCCCGTTAACTTTAACATGTCGCTACCTTGCCGCTATATTTAATGAAGGTGTTTGGCTCCTTTATTAGTCGGATGTCAGTCGAAGTATACCATTAGCAAAGATAGGTTGCCTGGCAACGAAACATACGCTCACAGCAGCTAAATCATCCGGGCTGTCAACAACAGTGGTCGCATATTTTTACTTTTGTCGGTAATGAAACATTTATAATACACTAAAATCTGATTAAGAGTAACAACTCATTAAGTATACGAAAATGTAGTCGTGAGGGTGTGGTGGGTGAAATGTTATAAGATTTTTTGCGTGCAACCGCATTACTTCTATACCGACAGATTTTAAAATATTGTTTAATGTGGGCTAACTGATAATTGATCAGTTGAAATAGATTATATTGTTTCTTAATCAATTAATACTTATAGATACAGTTAATAAGTGTTTACAAATAAAATATTTCACCATTCGTTGTTTTTACTGAATGTGCGCTAGCCTTGTACTTTTGCTATGAAACAAACGTTGAGTGCATTCAATTCGAAAAGCGAAATTTTTTAACTTGAGTCTAGACTTCTCTGAAATTCCAGCTGCGACGAAGTTTTTGTTCAACCCGCCGAATTACGCACATTTTCCATATCGGTCTCACAGGTACTACAGACGTAGGATCCCCTCTGCCAATTTTGGAATGCATAGCCCAGGTTTTGTTGTATTGATGACCAATTACTCAGGCGCAATTTCAAAACTCTTACTGCTCCTAGGATTTTCTATACTTATACTAAACCCATTGCATCCAAAATTTTTAATTACCGAAACGCATTATCTGACATCAATGCAAAAGACATGTAACCCTGTTCTTGCTCTACTTCGTCCTTCTTTTACCAACCTGCTGGACATGTGGTCACTGGTGATTTGAACATAGTCCAGAATTATAAGTTACGTGAGATTTTGTCCAAAAGACCCAAATTCCGGGAACCGCAGCCATTTTCATAGGATCAAAATTTCAAACCTATTATGGATGCAGTAGAGGACTATGCTAGATCATGGGCCAAGAGGTAAGATGCCATCTCCGATACTCTCTCGGATTGGACTAAGTCTATCAGTCGTTTACTAAAACGAAGAACTTACATGCAACGTTCGTTTGTTGACACTAGGCCTAAATATATTTTCAATGATGTTAGCATTGTTGAAAATCTCAACGCCTCACATGATAAGCATACCATTAGTCCAATAACATAGTGTTTATATGTGAACGATATTATTATGACTGTCTGTTCAAAGAACTTAGTTTCGGGAAATCAATCGACAGTGCTACTTATAAAAGCTCTACTCTTAGTAAGGATAAAATTATATCCAATCACAGATCTGTACTCACTTCATTTTGTACTCCGTGTGGAGATACCTATATAGATCTGCCTTTGTTATATTGGATACCCAAACTACATAAAAATCCCTACAAACAACATTTTATAGCAGGTTCATCCCGTTGTTCCACAAAACCACTTTCAAAAGTATTGACATCTATACTAACGGCAGTTAAAGAGGGTTCAAACATACTGTGGCAAAATATACTCTCGTAGTGGTATTAATCAAATGTGAATATTAAAAAATTCCAAAGAATTACTTGATGGTTTGCAATCTAGATCACTTGCCTCAGTCTCATACTCAATGCCACTCACCCCCTCAATGGGGTAATCTATGGTGTTCTGGGGCCTCGGGGGTTTCAGAAAGGAAAAGTGCAATAAACAGAGCCAGGGAAGGGAGACTACCGCTTAACGATATGCAACAAGTATCTTTTGGTGTTTTTGGTTTTGACTGATAATAATCTAGCTAGTTTGATACAATGGCATTAAAGATGTATTAAGTAAGATTTAGATAAAGAGCTGGTCATTCTTGCCATAATAGTTCAAAATAAGATAATGAAAAATAAATATATTGAAATATTTATTCAAATTGCTTTTTTCTGAGCGAAGTTATGGCTGTTTGACTGTAGCGTTTATCATCACAGCAACAAACATTCAGTTTATCGTTAAATTTTTAAACCTCGCGATTTAAACCACAGCCACCCAATGGTGGGGGAGTTGATTATAGGCCTTGCGACCCATTTGTGTCCTTTTCTAGGTGCCAAAGAATAGTGATATACACATTCCAAATATCATTTTAACACAAGAGATTTTTTCTATACGTTGATCCATATCTCGGAAATAACGGCTCCAAATATTCTACAGTTTCTGTAGGCAAATTCTATAATTTTTCCTACAGATTTAAGCCAAGATTTCTATAGGAAAATACTATAGTATTCTACAGATTTTTTATAGTGTTTTCTGTAGGAAATTCTACAGTTATCTTTTTGTCTATAATCAAGTTTTGTGAACAGACTGCACAGTTGTCCATATTTCTTCAGTTTCTTGTTAATACTAACTTCTATGAAGTTGCTATACATGTACACTGAATTTATAAATTTAAAATTCAGCCAATGGCAGACTTCTCTTGTATTACCTATAATCAGCTAACGGATAATGAAATTGAGTTTCCAGCAACATAAATGTATCAAACGACAGCACGTTAGTAAGATAACTGAGTTTTGAGCAACCGGTCCCAGATCAATATAACTATAAAACACAGTCAAATAATTCTGAAAATGTAGATTATTATAGGCGAATCAAAGTTTAAATCGCCTTTTATTATATCGGGTAGAACTTTTGGGAACGGGGGATCACGTGGCTAAGTGGGTAAGACTGGAGGTCGGGTGTTCGATCCCTGCATTGGCCGAGAAAGTGCATCCAGATTTTCCGGCGTATTCTCCCTTGTCAGTGATGCAGGACGGAGGGGCTGACAAGGTAAGCTGTCTAGTCGTTCGGATGGGACGAAAAACCGAGGTCCCGTGTACACATTGGCGTGCACGTAAAAGATCCCTTGGCAGTTGGAATTCGATATAAGAGTAGGCCGTAGTGCCGCTGTCCGGGCAAAATTTCCCTCATAGCACACTGTATGGCGTATGCCCGTCTTCATTAGCCCAGGTTAGGAGCAGAACAGTAGGACGTTAAACCTCATTTCATTTCATTTCTTTTGGGAACGGTACGGTAGGCTACGCCCCTGGCAATGCATATATAAAACAGATCGGACGTTCATTTTACAAGGGCACTAACTTATCATAAATCGCCTTAATTATCTTCGTATTTATGTCAAGGTCGGACCTGATTAAGATCGTTAGAGGCCTTAATCACCGAAAAGAGCATGCCCCCACCCACCCTATGTAATTTAAAATAAAGAAAAGACACTAAACCATAAAATACGTTTTATCTTTGCCTTGGAAATAAACAAAACATATATGTATGCTGAAATTGTTTTTTTTTTATATAGAAATTTTATACAAAATCATAGATCATTTCATTCAACTGGAGATTAACGAAATTATTATTATCAATATAACTGCTGTATATGTTTGCAAATATGTTATTTTTTGTAATTTACTGCGTGTGGGTGCGGGGGGGGGGGGGCTGTGTGTGGTACCTGGTTCAGTCGCAACATTTGGTAAATCCAGCAGTGGGGAAAAAACATCAGGATTTTTCAAGACCGGTTCCCATTTATCAGAGATATCGTCCGTGGGGCGGACACTCTGCCTTATACAATTCATTATAGGAATATGGCGGTATGTAAAATACTGTAAATTAAAGCCTAAGTTTCAAGGGTGGTAACTCCAGTAAAGCCCGTTTAAGTAGTGAAACTAATATATTATATATAAACATTTCTCATTCAGCTAAATGGCAGGTCAGATCAATGTAGACTTTACTCACGTTTTTGCAGTGACAATGTTCACAACACAAAAACGAAACGAAGTAACAGTCTAATTAAAATTATGGTACAAAAGGAGAGATTATCACATGAGATTCCACATAATCTATCTTTGCCAATGCTGGTTCAACAGTGTTTGTGGGATTCCAAATAGTTCACACACAAACAACATTTTTCCGCACGAAGCTAAACTGAATGATGGATAATTGTGTGCTGGTTCTTTAATCTAATTCACAGTCAATGTGCAGCTGTTTTATACAGCGTATCTTTAACGAAAAGATGCTGTTCATTTTCCGGGATCATAAGGGTTAAAATCATCTGGTTTCATAGAAGCCAATGTATGGTTAACCACTCTGTGATGAGCTTCATCAGCTCTTATAACTAATATAACATCTTTCATTGTGGCATCTTTCTGCAATACAAGATGACGTAAAATATAAAGAAATAAAGCAAAAAGGTGAAATAATGGGTTTACCGGTAATTTCTTAATCCCAACACAAAGGTTCAGTAACCACCAAAGCCTTTTTCATTATTCCTTTGTAGTTCCTGATTTAACCAAGACAATATTGCAACTTTAACACCCATATCGAGAAATTGCGTTCTATTGTTATATTTTATTACATTTACTCACTGTGTTTTTCATGCGCGACATATATCGTGATTATTTGGTATACTGTGGACCTTCACTGGCCAGCACAGTTTGCTCGCCAACCAATCAGCAGTTAAAGGGTTCATTGGGGGAGTTCAATTCACCATGGCATAGGACATGCTTTAACCCAAGAACAAAATAAAAATTCTATTCCACTATGGTACGTTACGATTACCGCCAGTGAACATATTCAAGATGTGAACTCAGGACTTTAAAAAAAAAACCCATTCATACTCATGGACAAACCTAACGTATATTTCAATAAATTTGGTTTTGGATGGGCGGAAAGCGATAGGACAGTACATGAGAATTATGTATATTGTTCGAGAGGAGACTTCTAATGGGAGTCAATGAGCTGAACGATACTTCAATGATACGTTTTACATTTACATGCTATTCTTTGAAAGTATAATTAAAACTTAATCAAATCACCCGTGTACTGGCTGTGGATCATTAAACAAGCATCGGCAGACAGCAAATAAAATACGTGTATTAATTGCAGTAATTATAAAACTTACTGGTAAACTCCAATAACGTATAGCTAAATCTGTCGCCGGTCGTTTTTTCCAATGTTGCATCGGTCCATGTTCAATATCCTGTAATTAATAGACGTCGAGATTATTGTATATTGAAGAGAGAAAATAACCTGAAGGATTTGTTCAATAGGATGAAGATATTCAAAATGCACTGATTATTTTGGTAATATTGAGCCAAACAATCGCTTCGTTTCGCCGCGTTGTTTATACAAGTTGATGCCACTGATTGCATGAGTTCGATCCCGGGTTCGTAGTGACTGGGGTAGGGTCGCCGGCTTAATCCCGTGGATTTTTACTGTGGTCTCCCTTTCAATGATCCTCGATAACATATTATGTTAGTCCCGAGAAATGACCCGATTAGTATCGAATAGACTTCCAAACTCTTTTCTCTATATATACCTATATAAAACACATATACTACAACAATTAAACTGAATATTAATAGTATAATATATATTTACCTCTAAACATTTAGTATATGTTTTAACAGCTTCTTCTTCTAAATAACCAACAAATCTATGACAGAATTTGGGGCTGACAATATAGGCTCCAGTAAACAACGTCACAAATATACCTACATTAAAAAGAAAAGTACATAAAATTATATAACTTAGCAATACAATACGTAGATAGCGGCATGGGATGGTCGATTTGCCTAATAAAGATGTTTTTCTCGCGAACACGTCTATGGTTCCAATTGCATAAATCTACATGCATTGTGGCTGAATTTGAGCCAAGTTGAAAGTGGCCATTGACTCTCGTCCACGGCCGGTGACCAATCTTTAAGGAAGCTATGAGGACCTTTAACTGATATTACTTACATTGAATCTGAAGAGTTAACAAAGAAATATGCCTCTCACCTTGAGAACCAATAACAGCTAATTTAAAAAATAAAGATGGCTGTTTTAATTCTAGAGCGGTTAACAAATGCATTCTTTCATTTTCAGCTTCCTCTACATGAATAAGACAAAAAAAGATTAAAACAATCTGAACAAATTAGGATGTTTGATGTGGTGGGTTGATTTGTTACCCGGTCAGTTTTTTATTTAGTGCATGCAAGGTAACGTGCCAAATAAGGCAGCTATAGTCAATCCGCAAAATCGGGTAGACCATATATTGATAAAAGTGGGTTTAGAATATAGTCAATCTTATTAGTGAGGCATCCAGATCACACACAGAGCTGACCGTTTGTGTGTTCTTTGTGCAAAACTATCGAACCTTATTCCAAAAAGCAACCTGGACAAGAGATAATCAATACTAAACCACAATTTACGACCAATCGTTTTGCTTAAAGTTCGTATTCTAGCGGATGTCGACATAAACATTTGTGTGAATTGAAATTCCACGTAACATTGTGGGTGGGTGTGCTTTGTGTGCGGGTGTGTGTGGGGGTGGGGGTAACAATATACCATACCTAGTAAAGTATGAATCCATCCATAGTCTCTCTGTAATCGCCTGATTGATTTCATATGTCTAGCCATTGCAGCAACCATACCTGGTACTCCGGCTACTGTTTCCAGAAAACAAATACGACTGAAAAAAATGGTATATTATTACCACAAGATATTATTCCAGTTAAAGATACATTATGGGAGATTAGATAGAGAGCTGGCAGTTCTCACTACAACAGTTAAAAATCTAGATAATGTAAAGGGAATTTGCTGAAAATTTCAGACAAATTAAACCGAGAATTCAGCGATTGAATTTTAAGCCTAGCCTCGATCATCATTACTAAAGTCGGTACGATTATCCATTTTTTTTATTTAATCATCAATGAGCGTTGAGCAGAAGATCAGATTCCAATCCAGTAAAGATTCCAATCCAGTAAAGACCTGTAATAGGCAGATTTAACTCTTGCATAACGTATGTTTAACACTAACTGTTCTATATACTCGTCTTCGAAGTAAAGTATACCCTTTGCCAAATTATGGCTCTACAGTGTTCTTTAAATGGGTAGTACTAGCAGAATTTTGTACTTAAGTTGTATTCTTGACATCTTACTCTGCATTAAAAAAGTGAAAATTACCAATTCCTGATACGGTATTTTAGGATATACATTTAATTTTAATTGATTTTGTCGTGTTTGTAAACACGTGTACAATACATTATGACTTTAGGGCCTGTTTGATAGGACCCCATCCAAATGAAAATATTTGGTGTTTCTCATCTTGGTTGCAGGGTTAGAAATTCTATTTATACGTTATACGGTGTTTGGATTTAAAATTTGACGGAAACGAAAATGTTTCTATCTTAATATAACTCTTTAATGCATTTGCTGAAAATTCAATTGGGGATTGGTCAATAAGAATGGGTCTCCGTTTATTAATTGAAAATGGAACTTTTTTTGTTAACTGTGATCGCCATCAAAATATATATTTAGTCTTTTCAACCGGAAAGTGAATTGGCGGAATTGTAATCGAGTGAGACGGCATTGGTTCCTGTCACCGTTGCGATAAAACAGGGCAAAGTGCTCTTATTCATATAAACTGATAACTCACTTTAACCATTTCTTTTCATTTCGTTCACCGAATACAAAACCAGAACATATATCAAAACCTTTTCTTATACCTTGAACAGAATAATAGGCCATCTGGAAATACAAAAACAAGTAATAACAGTGTGTAGCAATGCAAACAGTTCAACAGTTGGAAGTCTGTTTTTATCAACGTAAACCAACTTAGGAAAAGTCCCACACAACATAATGTACCAAGCAAGTTACTGAGCTAAGACAGGTACATATAATAAAGTTATCTTGGCATATATATATCGTACGTAAAATAGCATAACCTAAACCTTCTCTAAAATATTATAACCTAAACAATAATTATTTAATATGATCGAGATGAGCGGAATATCGATCGGGATTTTTTGATGATACTTCATCAACGTTTGCGTTTATACCCCGTTGAGTTGTGGTGTCGGGTTTGATGTGAACCGAATGGACAGGCAGAATAAACCATACGACAAAATAAGCCAGAATTCAGGTACCTTGTGGCGATTCAAGTCGTGTATATAAGAGATGTAAAATACAAATGGTGTGTGTGATACTTTACCTTATCTACTTTGCCCTCTGGTTGTTTAGAAGTTATTTTTACATTCATCAGCTGCTCTTTTGTCCTACAATATATTTCCATTAACATATTAATATGTTTATTTACAATTTCTTCAATAATACATGAATATAATAACATGCATACAATAAATACCATGAATTTAAAGAGAAATTTCATCAATCACAACACATTAATGCTTATTGAGTTGGCTTAATAAACATATCACAATGGTTCAACTCAAAAGCCCATAAATGACTAATTCAGTGTAATAATTGACTCTACTGTAACCTGTCTTGTTGATACTCACGCTTCAAAAGGAAAGTACATGTAAGTACAGGAAATAGTTAGCATACTTTACATTATGTACACGACATCTGTGCGGCATTTCGGATACAAACTTTTCGGTTGAAACGCATAAGATAAAATTAAGCAATAAACATTATGTCGTGTGGCAACAAGATAGGTTTCCAGGCAAGGAAACATACGCCGAGAAGTTAACAAGGGTAGTCGCAATTTTTTTCTTTTGCCAGTAATCAAAACATTTACAACACATTAAAATCTGAGTACGAGTAACAACTTATTAAGTAATTATCAGAAATCATTCGAATTTATTTGGCTACAAGTTCATCCCTATAATAATGTATAAAAAAACATTTAATATGAAGGCCAATAACTCTGGAAGTAATTAATGGAAACACTTAGTATAAATTTAATCGGATATTTAAATCGTTGAAAATGGATAGGCTTCCTCATCCCACGACCTTAAGGATACCTTCCCGCGTACAAACTGTGTGATTTGATGGTATATGTGGACTAAAACATATTCAAATTAATTAAAGATACATTATAAGATATTAGATAAAGAGCTGGCAGTTCTCACTATAATAGTTAAAAACTAGATAATGTAAAGGGAATTTGCTGAAAATCTCAGTCAAAGTGATTCATCCTGAACCGAGAATTTAGCAATTGAATTTTAGGCCTAGTACGATACAAAACATAGTCTCGATTATCAATTTTTTGATTTAATCATCAATGAGCGTTGAGCAGAAGATCGGATTCCAATCCTGTAAATATCACAGGCTAGCGATGACATCGTGATTATGGTCTGGATAAGTTAGTCTGATTAATAATTTGGATAACATTTCAGGCCTAAAGAAAGACCTGCAAATGGGCAGATTTAGCTCTTGCATAATGTATTAAATCCAAAGGACCTATTTTTACAGAATGTATTTGTCATTACTTACTGTTCATTTACCATGCATATTGAGGCCTAAGTAAATTCTTCGATTACTTTCTGCCAACTTCTTTTTCCACCGTTTAATTTCAAAGCCTGTTATACTTTTACTACACCCCTCAATATTCCAAGAACGGACGAGGACGACCACTATATACGACCACATTGAAATGTGGGCGTATAAAAATGACTTAAAGCTTTTATAACGTCATATAAGCGTTTTCTTCGTTTCTTTCTTTTAAAAGTCGCCCATGGCCTTACGACTTTTACCTCGTATACTGTATTAAGTTTACAAATTTATTTGCAATGCACTTATTAAACGACTACAGTTCTAATTTTATTTTGTTGTTTTGTTTAGGCCAGTTTATCCTCTCTGACAAACATACAGTGTGCTATGAGATAAACTCTGTCCGGAAAGTGGCGCTACGGTATACTCTTATTTCGAATTCCAACTGTCAAGGGTTCTTCCCCGTACACGCCAATCAGTACCCGGGACCTCGGTTTTTAGCCCCATTCGAACAACTATGCGATGTCTTTGCCAGGAATTTGGCCTTCACCACTGACAAGTTGAAACCGCGTCGGAAAATTCCGGAATCGAACCAGAGACCTACTGGTTAGCGAACCAGCGTTTTACCCTGGCATCGAAACACAAATGACAAAGTCAGTTAAAAACGTCATCTCCTGCAAAAGTAAAATAATCATAAGAAATAATTACCATATTGGATGAGGCAGGGTATGTGTGCCCGGTGGTGGTTTTCCAACAATGGATGACGTTTTACTTCTGAAATTAAGGGAATCTAATTATTATAAACTTACAACAGATCATTCACGTAAGGAAACTAGACGGGTTCCAAGTTATGATGACTGCAGAGACAACATCCACGGAAACGTCGAAATCAAACCTACCTCAGTCCCCCCTTTACGGGATTTCGGAGCAAATATAATTTTAGACTAATATAATTCACACTTACTTGAAGTGATCAAGTTGTTTAGGGTCGGGGATTTGATCAAATTTACCATCTTTATATTCTTCATAAGCAGTTTCTATCTCTTTCTTGGTGGATAACTTATTAAAACACAACTTCTGAAAAATTTAAAAATAGAAATTAAAATACGTATTAGTATTCAATTGAATTGTATCAATAATTAACTTTGTTATGTAATTTATCTTTATTAATAGACCAATGTATACATCGTGTTTAAATAATATAAATTAATACAGTTTTTTCGCTGCCTCTCGGTTGAACAGGAACAGGATGAATACACTATTTATTGTGCTCCAAAAATGTTTCTTTTCACGACACAAATCAGACGTTTCTGTCCTTTACTGTGATCGGGCGTGCCCCCCCCCCACCAATCAGTGGTATCGTCGTTAGGATGGTCCGATAAGCTGAGGTCCCAATATGTACACATTGGCGTGCACGTAAAAGAACCCTTGACAGTTGGATTGGAATTTGAAATAAGAGTAGGCCGTGGCGCCGTTATCCCATGGCAACATTTCACTCAAAGCACACTGTGTGGCGTACGCCTGTCTTCATTATCCCAGTCGTAGCAGGAAAGTGGGACGTTAAACAGCATTTCATTCCCTTTCATTTGCTGTGTTCGAAGTTCGATAGTGTTAGACACATGTGCTGACCTTAGAGGGTATCCAAATATAACCTTTCCAGAACTCTATGCGTCAATAGGCCTATAATAAACAATCTCTATCAAGCCGGTCTTTAGCCTAATATAAACACTTAGTTAATTGTCATTGAAAAACACTTACACTTACCGTTACATTAGAATCCAATGTGCCCCAGTTGTTATTGAGAGATGTCCGAGTACTAATAAACCCTTGTTGTAATCTTAGCAAACTTTTCATGATAACAGAAATTTGAATTTCACTATACTGAAATTATACTGTAAAAGTCTGTATGTTTTTCTTGACAGTTAGTGAATGATATCGTTGCAATATATATATATCTCGCACAGCAAATAGTGCGCACGCGTATTGAAGCATTTTCATCACGTACTTGTTACTAAATATAGAATAGTCGGTCCCGTTAAAATTGTGTTATCTGGCAATAATAAACGGTTTTTATCGATTATTCGATTTATTGTCAATTTGTTTTAACGTTTTATTGTAGATATTATCATTCACGTTAATGGTTATTTTGATTAAACGATTGTTTAGTTGATAAATGTAATAGTATTGTATGATGAAATAGGACTGGGATATTTCACTATTATATTAGAATTTACGGGAACAACTGGTAAAAACCGGGTCCTTAAAAATGTACTTTATGAAATCCCGGACAAGAGTTTTGTAAGGAAAGCGTGTTTCCATACAGGTGTCACCATTATAATTTCCGACCATGTGCATAATTTTATTTAACAGTATAATATAGGCCTACACTCATTATGGGTCTTAATGCCCCACCCCGGTTGTACGTGACAATGAGTAAAGTCGCCTGTTCAACCTCGTGGGTTTTCTCCCGGTCTTCCGGTTTCCTACCACTGCTAAAGACCCATACGCACAGGCGAATTATTGAAATAAAATTGAACCATGTGTTATAGTCCCGAAATCACCCAGTTTGTGTCGAGTGGACGTTACCCCCCCCCCCTCTCTCATCTCTCATCTCTCTCTCACACACACACACACACGCTCTTAATGCCCCAAGAGTTTTTCCATAATCCAATAATCGATATTAAATAAAATTATATAAATATTTCATAATAATAATAATACATGCTTTCATATAATACATCCATCTTAAGCATAAAACATACTTTACATGTTCTAGTTGTTCATTATAAAACATAAAGACGTGATGAAATAAAATAAAACTTCAAAACATAGGTGCTTCATAGACTGATCTGGTGTGATTAAAGATCACGCGTTACACAACACACAAATAAACTGTACTCTTCAAAAAAAAGTAGGGGATATTCAGAAACAATACAAAACTGAGGAAATGCACTGCTGTTTTTATTAGAGGTAACCAGTGTAGCCTATGTTAATAACAGGTCAATTGCCTACACCTGAACATAAACAGTTTATATTGGCGACCTATCTGACGGCCTCATTTCACTCGCAAAGAGATACACCGTCAAAAGTGAAAATGGACGTTTTTGATTTTTCTCTTAATAATGAGTAATTGCTCTACCAATCCTCAGACATTCAGCAATTCGTCGTGGCATGCTCCTAATCAACCGTCCAATCACGATTTGGGGCAATCTGACCCACTCCTCTTGCAGTGCCACGGCCAATTCTTGCAGTGTTGTCGGTTGACGAACACGTCTCCCGATCAAATTAAACGTAACACACTAAAGCAAAGATACGCTAAACAGTAAATCTTATGCAAGAACCGATAGGAAAGCATGGATAGATAAACCAGCACGCGGCAGTTTTCATCAACCATTCCTTGAAGTGTCAAATTTGACAATGAACCCCTCCCACGTGTATGGCGCAATTGTGGGTCGAACGTGCAGCTCAGTGGTTCTGTTGGGCCAATAAGTTCTTCATCTGTGAACATACTCTCAAAGCATGCCAAGTGTCCATGACTATTTACATATCACAACCTGCATAGGTATTTGCATTTCAATATCCCCTACTTTTTTTGAAGAGTATATAAAACAATACACCAATCTAATGTAAGACACCAATGTTAGATACAAAACCCTAGCTGTGGCTATAGACTGAGAATCTATCATTTATTTATTTAATTACTGTAGTATAGGCCTACAAGCTATGTATAAAATACGAACAGTCACACAGCACACATGCACATATTGCGACAGGCGATCTCACACTACTAATGGTGTCGCTTTGACAAGCTATCTATATCCCATCCTCTTTCACAAGTCTTGAATTCCTTTTTCTTTGAAACATTAACACAGGTGTTGACTGCAAATTTATCAAACACGAAACACTGTGATGAAGATGGGAGTGTCGATACTCTATTTAGTGATTGTAAAAGCGGTTTTACCGAGGTATTGCCGAGCAGTTTTTATGGGTAACTTCGTGTTTGAACAAATAAAATGAAATGAAATGGAGTTTAATAAAATACCAACCACAAGCTTCAGGTAGACATCAATAACGCTTGTGTTTCATGACAGTAGACAAATCCATATTTTTTGATAATATCGACAAAACTTGATTTTGCACTAAAATAGCTATGGAAAATTGTTACAGGCAGTGACGTTAAAACCATATAGGTTGGAAAAGGGGTTGTTCTTTTCTACCCACGCGCGAAGTTAGCCTTCTAAAAGCCCAAGGTACCATGTTTTTGCTCTTGCAGATTATTGGTATTCCTAATCAACGATGTTTTGGGAAGATCACCAAACAGTATAGTCATGTTATTAAAACACGTTTACTTCACGGGACTACTGTATGTGTAAGTAATCATTCAATCATAGACCCAGTCGACGGAAAGTGGTGTTTTTGCCGTAGACTAGACCCAAACAGTGAAACACTAGGCTATAGTATTAATAGTATCATTATCAATCCTGTCTCGGTGAATATTATTATATATTTTCATATCTTTACCCACATATTATGTGGTTGTGTTGTTAGCAAGTAAATATCTGTGCCAAATATTATCCAGGTGATAAATAGTAACCAGTTCATGTGGAGTTTAAGACAGGGTGTTTTGTTTCGTTTCGTTTTATTTCGATTCATGAATATTATGCAGTAACTATATGGCATTCTGATTACCTCGTTTTTCTTGTCGAAACCGTCGTCGCTCATTGCCCTGGCATGACTCACCACTTGAATGATTTTCTTGTAAAAGCGACAATTATAGACTCTATAAATATGTCAACTTCTTTTTAAGCGTATGTGTGTTAGGATACCCATTGCCTAATTTTATTGAATTGGAGTCGTCTTCATTATATTTAATAATGTTCACGAGTTTGTATAAAATGCGATCTATCCTGAAGGGCAGATCCGTTTTTACAACTAAACGGAATTAGCCTAATCTGTGATACCTACAAATTATTTTTATCTCATAATTTTATTGCCTTTTAAAGGAAAAAGAATTCAAGCTACAATCCAGACCGCCTACCGACAGAACGAGGGATTTTATAGGTCCGCCAGATACTGCCTCAAACCTGAGACCGATTATTTTCCGAAGCTCAAAAGTGTCACCTGTTGAAAAAAGGTACCATGAAAAATACGAAAACGTCATGAAGTGGAATCAAGACTTTTGGGCTAATCATAATAAGAAGTTCACAAAGGTATTTTTCAAAAATTAATATTCATACCAGACTGCTTCTTCAACAGAAAAAAATCCTTTACTGTTAAAAACATACATTATGCAAGAGCTAAATCTGTCTGTTGCGGGTTATTCTTTGGGCCTGAAATGTTATCTAAATTATTAATTAGACATTAATTAACCTATCCAGACCATAATCAACTCTAGATGGCATCGCTAGCCTGCGATCTTTAATGGATTGTGAGCCGATTTACTGCATAACTTTTCTTCACGATTTAACGGTTAAATGGATAATCGAGACTATGCTGTTTATCGCACTGACTTAAGTAATGATGGTCGAGGCTAGGTGGAAATTTCTATCGCTTAGTTCTCGGTTCATAGTGGATCAATTTGGATGAAATTTTCAGCAAATTGGCTTTATATTATCTAGTTTTTTAACTATTATAGTGGGAACTGCCAACTCGTTATCGAATCTCCAATAATGTATCTTTAATGGTTCTGGATTCGACTTTTTGGGAACTTAAAACACTGGGGCCGGGAGGTTATTGCCGCCCACCAGTTCAGCATAGATGAATATAAACATAATACTTAAACATACATTATGCAATTGCAGGTCTTTCTTTATGCTTGAAATGTTATCTAAATTATTAATTAGACATTAATTAACTTATCCAGACCATAATCAACTCTCGATGGCATCGCTAGCCTGTGATATTAACTGGATTATGATCCCATTTGCTGCTCGACTTCCATTCCTAATTTAATCATGAAATATGGATGATCGAGACTGTTTTTTATTGTACAGACTTTAGTAGTGATGATCGAGGCTAGGCTGAAATTTCAATCGCTTAATTCTCGGTTCATAGTAGATCAATTTGACTGAAATTTTCAGCAAATTGCCTTTACATTATCCAGTTTTTAACTATTATAGTGAGAACTGTCAGCTCTTTATCATATCTCCCACACTGTATCTTTAATATACTCTATCGACAGCGGTTAGGTGAACTGTTCCGTTGAGATCACCACCCCCCCCCTCGGCCCCCCTTCCCGGCCCCCTCCATCACCCATCCCCAAGCACAATCACCACTACCTTATGACGTCTAATTACATGTCCGTGTATTTCCAAATACCCAATCTCGAGGGCTCTAACAAGTTTTATTAAAATAAGTATGGTTTTCGTTTATTTTTCTCTAGAAGAAAGAAGAGTATATTGAAGAGACACTAAAGTCAAAATCAAAAGCTGAGGGGGGAAATCCGACGCTTACACCTGAAGAAATGTCTGTCTTTTATAAACAATTCTTAGATGACAATTATAGACTTCATACACAGTATAATATGTAAGTACACCATATTTTGTATCGGGTGGGATTTTTTGTCGGATTAATGGTCGTAAAACGTCATAAGGTGTACCCGGGACCATATAAAGATGAGATACAACTTGGTGGATCAGATAATAATGATGAGTGATCTAATGGCCGAAAGGAGCCACTGTGGCTCAGTCGGAGCAGAAAAGTAGGACGTTAAAATCCATTTCATTCGCGGCCGTTGGTCGAGAAATTTCATCGGAATTTTCCGGATTTAGTTCCCCATTCTTCCTGGTGCGGTACGGTGGTACTGTCAGGGGACAGTGTCTAGTCTTTCGGTGGAACGAAAAACCGAGGTCCTGGGCACGTGAAATAACTCTTGACAGACGAAATTCGAAATAGACTGAAGCGGCTCGGTTCGGACAAAATTTTTCTTATAGCACAATGCATATTGACGCATGTCAAGTCTTCATTAGCCCGGATGGAGCAGAGAACTAGGGCGCTAAACTCCATTTCATTTCTAATGGCTCGAATTCAATCGTCTCAATCATAATAGTACTATTTCAGTAGTGCTGATTGTTTTCTTTCAAATGTATTTATGTTTGCGTGGGTATCTTACCGTTTGGTGTTGCATTGTCGTTTGATGCATTGTTAGGATTACCTTGCGCATTCGGTCTCGGTCATCTGTTCCTGTGTTCCTGTTTTAGTATTGCCCTATGTAAACACAGTTTTGGTACTATTCTATGTGAACACAGTTTTAGTACTGCCCTATGTGAAAACAGTTTTGATACTGTCCTGAGTTTTTTCGGTACATTAAATTGTCCCAATCGCAAGTATTGCTAATTTGACACAATCGTTTGTTACTGTTTTGGTATATAGTTCCAACTCTGTGTACATGTAATTTACTTTTTGTTTTTGATAGAGAATGGTACAAGAAAAACATATCTTTACTTTTCCCGGCGTTACACGTAGCAATTAACAGATTCGTTACCAAGTTAAAAGGATGAACTGAACACCAACTGTGATGAACAATATTGTATAGACAACTCCCAGTTTATTCATCGAACTTTAGACATTTTGTTCAAGTGATTTTCACATTAAAGTCAGTGGTTTCTGCGGTGCCTAAAATAAATAGATACACGGTGCTACAAACCAGATAATGTCGAATCATTGCATTATTATTCCAACAAACCTGTGTAGGACTTACAAAAACAAGCAACAATATTAATGGTATTGACAGTACAAGTATTGTGTTTAAGTGGGTACATTTCATATGGGTTAGGTGTGTGTGGTGGCAGATTTCATTAATGATAGAATATTCATTAAAACATTGTCCATTAGTATATTGAATATATATGTTTTGTATATAATAAATATTATTTATAATAATATTGTCAGTAAATCTTGGATAGCAGTCATCGTCCCGACTTGTGATCTAAAAGACGATTTAGAATTATTCAACTCTCCCTCCAATTAGGTTGCTGTGGTGCAGAATCTTTCTTCTTGGATCATTTTACATGTCAATATAGAAAACGAATTACCCGTGTTTATCACAAGAGGCTAGCGAACGTTTGTTGATAGAATATATACATATACGCTAAACCATCCTAGGTACCCTCACTGCTCACAGCTGGGATTTTCAGTAATGCTATTCAGAATAGCCTGAAATTAATCATACACAAATACAATAATAGTTACAAAATAGTTATACAAAACTGGACGAAATTTGGAAAATATGCTATTAGTATTATACCAATTCAACGATGTATTAAAACTGCGTCGCATGCGTCAGTGTATATGCCTTGATATACGTCCAGGTCCATTTTATTGATGATAATTATATGAAAATATAAATGAGTTTCCTTGTAATTTATACAATACGCTTTAAGAGATAGGACACATAAACATCTAATACTTAGAATAAGGCTATTATTTATTTTCTGGAGCTGTCAAGCCAGCAAGAGTGTTATTGTCTCTTTAACGTTATTACTTTCCCGATTCTCAAAAATATATGTTTTATACAAGATCGCCAGTTCGATAATAAGTATATGCAAACATTGCGAAATGCTATGTTTGCGTACGGCTAGGAGATCATAATGCTGTTATCTGTATTTATTTTAATCTTTATAAATGAGATCAATCTGATATGTTAACATGCTGACCTAATCCTTGATAAAATATATAAGGCTGGGCCAGTCAATACACGTCATGTAATTGCCGTCCTAATTATTAATTAAACTGACCCAATTAATTGATTGATTCACAGAACAAACATGCCTTTACAGCTCATTTCAATTTCTTTGAGTCCTTCGACGCATAAGATAGAAACCTTCAGTTGTTAATATTTACAGCCAAGCCAAGAGTTCAAAAATATATATTTACACCAATATTTAAAATACATGCATATTATATTTTACAATCAAATCTGTGCCAATACGGAGAGAAAACATCGGTGTTAATAGTTCAATGATATATATTTACATAATATATATAAGTTTTAAAATGCATGCATATTATATTTTACAATCAAATTTGTGCGAATACGGAGAGTTTATTTCAACAGTAAAGTTTCTTTTGATTAGCTACGTTTCGTTGAATACTCAGGGTAATAATTTATTTTATTGTTAATAAGTAGAAAGTAGTGGAATAAGTTTATTTATGCTAGGATACTTTGAATAGTACTGTGTAAGGTCGGAATCATTCAAATATATGATCGCGACGAACACTAGATTGCAGGAAAATGCATTATACAACCCTACTCCAAGAAGGAGATATTTATGTAAAAGCCTGTCGAATGATCAAAGCTATGAAACGATAGTAGTCAATAGATCTTTTTACTTATATACTCGGAGATTATACATTTGTCATCAAGTGTACACTAAAGTTTTTATAAACAAGTAACGTTTTCAGGTTTTCTGACGGGTTAAAGATGGTTCGTTTGTGGGGATTATCGCCCAATGCCTAGCTGCCCCCCCCCCCTATAAATGTTACTGTTCTAATCTTAATATCGCTGGGCCCAATTTTTAAGTTGTTTCATTTTCCAGATCTTTGGAAAATAAGTTATATATGACTCAATATGAGTTTTCATAGTATATCTTCTTTTTCATGTTCGAAACATATTGTTAATAGCGTTAATTGGGTATGAATAATGCATTACTTTCAGAGCTTTATAATAATAGTGAGTACATAGGGAATACAGAATAGTTGGCTATTTATCTACATGCTCTAAATGAAAATAAAGAATTCAAAATTGCCCTGCTTCGTTAATGTCTCCGGTTTGGGCTATAAATAGCTTTTACACACCTGTAATCACGTGACCAGTGTATTTGTCATGCAAATACCTGAGTTTGACATACTTTCGAAGCGAGAATTCAAACGAGATTTCACGGGTTATCTGTCTATTGTGTGTCGATTCATTTCAAAATGGGGAACTTAACAGTAAATGTGGAGGTACCTGGTTCCTAATTGAAGGTGACGGGCCATTTTCTTGTGAAAATAATGTTTACTAGTGCCGTGGACTGATGTAACTTGTAAAAACGCTTTCGCTTAAAAAAGACACGACCAGGAAAAGAAAACCATAATGAAGTTTAATTGTGTTATTTTGACGATATTATGCTGTGTGACTCAGACATTTTGTGCAATAGTAACACCACCTCCAATGGATGGGGACAAACCTGTATTTGCTAATGGGATTGTGTATTATTTAAATCATATACCCGATCACTGTAAGGAACCCAGAATTACCACGTATTCGTCTGGAGGAATTATTAAGGACAAGAGAGCTCTTGTTCTCAGTGATAGCCCCCACATAATTTATGGGAATATTGAGATAGCCCCTACTGGATGTTTATACATACAACCAGGCTGTGAATTGAGGTTTGGTCCAGGGTTTGGTATCATAGTTAATGGAACATTAATTGCAAGGGTAAGCTATTTCTATTTCCTAATTTTGTGTTGTTTTTTTTTTTACAAAAACAACTATTACATGCATGTTTAGATATTTGGAATGAAACATTATGGGCTTTGGAGACTAATGCACTGATCGAAGCTGTCAATACATCTGACCCCAATAAATTATATAAGTTATGATTTTTAAAGAATATATACTATAGAATATATTTGTTGATACTAAATCAGTTAAGTAATAGATGGGTTGCACCTAATGTGTGTTTGGCAAGATGCATATAGTTTTGATAGCTTGTCCTGTATACACTATATAGATATATGTCTCGGTTAACTAAGAATACAATTCAATATACATATATCGAACACCACATTAGAATTATTTTGTATATTGGTTTGTAAATGGTAAACCACGAATTGTGTAGAAAAGAAGATTCATGTAAATGAATTAAAAATATGCAATACCGTGTATGTAAGAATTAGAAAAGAGCTGTCTGTTCTCATTATAATAGTTTAAAAACAGATAATGAAAAAAGAATATAATTGAAAATTTCAATTTACTTTCTTCCGAGCGAAGTTATTAATGTTTGAAGTTTTGACAAGAATAGCGGAGTGTCGATGGTCATTACTAAGATAATAAACATAGTCTCTTTTTTCATGTTAATGTTCACTAATTGGATAGTCTTAATTATAGACTTAATATCCAAGTCACCCATAATGTCTAGAGAGTTGATTACTGTTTAGTTTATTAATATGGCTACCATAATAAACTAGGCCTATAACTAACTGATTTCGTAATAATGTAAGAATGTAAGTGGAGAACTAATCGATACTGCAATGCACAGACTTTTTCTATTTTCCTCGCTTTTGATCTTGTGTTAAAATTATAGTTCGAATGTGTTGAACCAGTTCTATCATACTGTATAATGTAAACTTTGTGGACACTGACATTGTCCTTTAACAATATTAATAGCTTTTTTAAAATATTTTTTTTTAGGGTAGTGAAACACCAGGAGAGCGTATTGTTATGACTAAAGATAAAGGACTTGATACTGGTACACCTTCTGGTGATTGGTCAACAGATTCGCGTCTTGTAGATGGTAATACAACACAAGATGGTCGACTAGAATTACTGTATAAAGGATTATGGCGTGGCATTTGTACAAATTATGTGAAGTAAGTAGTAAAAGTATCTGACTCGTACAAATAATTGAGTTAGACATAACTATTCATACAAATATTTCTAACTATTCATACAAATATTCACAGACATGCATGTGACTGTTCATACAAAAATTTCTAGACATACATGTAACTATTCATACAAATATTTCTAGACATAACTATTCATACAAATATTTCTAGACATAATTATCCATACAAATATTTCCAGACATAACTATTCATTCAGATATTTCCAGTTAAAGTCCAGTTACAGTATAGAATTTAAGCAAATGATTTTTGCTTTTGGTTATGTATATCCATAGCCTACTCCTCAATGCTTCGTAAATATGAAAAAACTGCCTGACACGGCATGTACGAAGCTATTTGCAGCCAGTCACAACCATGTACATGTAGCTACATGTAGTTTTGTTGAGATTGTTATGTATTTGGTGAATACTCCTATTGTCATGCCTTCCAATGGTCTAGCAATAGAGTTAGATCCACCATTAACCAGTTTAATACTTGTCCATCAAGTGGTGCTTTGGAGATGTCAGTCAATGTGGGAAATTAAAAAATTGGTCCAATATTAATAAAGTATCAGGAGATAACTTCTATAGACTTAATTGAGATCAGTCTAGTTAGCTAGTGCTACTTGGCCTGCTGCTGGTTTGTGCAATGACAGAAAGGGAAGTTGAATGCTTTTACAAAAAAGTTTGAGAGTTACCTCTATAATACTCTCAGTAGGTCACACATTGTAACATAGGTTAGATTAAACCGTTAATTCTGCTTTCTTTGTTGTTTACAGTTTCACAGAAATTGATGCCAATGTAACTTGCAGACATCTTGGATTTCTGAAAGGAAATTTTACGTACCACTCTTTTACTCGGAACCAAACAGAATATATGTTATTTGAGAAACCTGATTGTGGTGGAACTGAAAACAGTTTGTTTGATTGTGGAGGATCAAGAAACATTCGATTAGGTCATCACATTTGTGGTAAGCTTTTATGTTCATCCATTTTATCCAAATTTTGATCCTTTTGAATTAAATGTTGAAACGTAACTCAGTAAACAGTGACTGTATTCCATGTGTGTGTCATGTGTATTCCCAGTTCAATTACTAAATCCCATTGACACAAATTAATACTCAGCTACGAAAAAAAGTTATCTATATGCAAATTTTGTTGGTTCACAATGTACATTCTAATAGAAATGCGAAAAAGGGCTACTTATATTATGAAATACCTTCTATTTGATTATCAACCAAGTGAAACCGGTATATCATTTATAACATATATTTTTTTTTTCAACAGATGGTCAACAAGTGATAGGATTTGAATGTGAGGGAATGAGACCTGGTTTAGCCTTGAATCATTGGCGTGGCCTTGAATTCTATAATTCTACGTTGGAGGAAGTATTTGTTGATGATAATATTTATATCAACAAAACCTATTCGTTCTTAGAATACCTAGACATTTTATATGCTGGTCTCAACACCTTTAATGGTCGAGGCATCGGTATAAATTATCCACTGGCTGCTATTAGTGCTAGTCCATTTGTTCCGCTCATGAATAATGTTACTATTAAGTATGGTGCATATGATGCTATGAACCTGACAGAAATCAGAGGAAGTATACATATCGCTAATAGTACCATTCAAGGAAACAGAGGTAAATAATGTATTAAACTTTTAATTTAATGGAAATGTTGTTGCCTTGTTTTATCAATTTAATGTTCTTTGGTCACCATTCAAGGAAACAGAGGTAAATAATGTATTAAACTTTTGATTTAATGGAAATGTTGTTGCCTTGTTTTATCAATTTAATGTTCTTTGGTCACTCTGACAAAAAACCATGATTGTGAAATACCTCTAAAGCATTTCACATTTTAAAATGTAAAATTATTGTACTTTGGGCATACTAATAATACATGTGTATGAACTATTTGTGTTGAACTGTTTTTGTCGGGTTAATGCAGTCCAGACCCATTTTAGATTATCCCATCCAGGTGTATATTTCATACAGTTTTCCTGCTTTATATCCATCCAAAAATGTCATAACTATCAGCATGTCATTTTGGAGTAACAAATCTATTTCACATTACATTTTTTCAGGATATGGAATTTTTATCCAGACTGCTGTTGGAGGAGTCTTGGTTAACCAGACAAACATAACCAATAATTGGGGAGATGGTATAAAAATGCAAATGAGGAATTTAACTATAGTGGATTTTGTCCAACAGTATCCGTGGGATGATGGCTTCTGTTCCGGTGTAAATATTGGGTCTCAGACTTACCCAATCTATGAGTTTCAGGATGTTATGTCTCCTGATGGTAGGAAGCCATTGGGTAGTACTTGTGATAGAGTAAGTAAATCACCTAACTATGTTTCTTCTGAACTTTAAACTATGACAGCATTCAGGTATGACAACATTTAGGTATATATAGTGATAGGTGTCATGGATGAGGCAGGATATTTATATTCTTACATCAATTTTTACTCCTACCCAAGTTTTAATCGTTGTACCTGTGTATTCTTTTTTTTATGATAGTGGAATAATCTTCTCAGTTTACAGTTGTCGGTTTCTATTTCTAAAAAAGAGGTCATAGAAAAAGCAACTATTGACTTTATCACTTGAAAATTTCAATCTCCTGGACTATTGGATGCGAATTTTATTAAATGCTTTGATTATTTTTGATAATCATATCATTGGGGGCAATGAAAATGGTTTGTATACTTTTTTATTATATACATGTATTTTTTTGTTACAGTTATTTACCACTACAAAAGATAAAAAGGTGACAGTACATTTTATGATGATGCAAAATGATCCACTAGCATCTGCTACGCTAGAGATAAGGGATGGAAGTAGTTTTGGGAAAGTTCTAGGGTTATTTAATATCGCCAATGGTAGTTATCCTCAATCTGTTACCACTAAAACACAAACTGCCCACATTCAGTTAAAGTACAGTCTTCCTAGGAATAGAATATGTCCAACATTTAAACCATGTATAAGATTTCTTATACAAATTGAAACAAGTAATTGTAAGTAAAATAAAAAACCAACATTTACTTATGGAAGAACAATTACCAATTTATTTGGCCGACAATTCAAGGAATGTTCTCCCAAAGTTTTCAAGCAAGTACAGTAACAAATGTGTAGGGCAATTATACATATTATATGGAAGCAATATAAACAATTCAGGAACCATGCATGACAACAAGATCAAAGGCAAGCTACATATAGCCGAAATAATTTAGTAATTGTTCTTCAATAAGTACATGTGTATGTGTAATAGTTTTTTGCTTTATCCAGTTACATTCATTGCGACTGTATTCTAGTATCTTTGCCAGTAAATGAATTCTTAAAACTAGTTTATCACTGTATAAAAATATCCACCATGTCTTATTTCATAAAAAAAACCTATTCAGAGTTTTGGTTTAAAATATACCATGTGATTCTAGTTTCTTGTCAATAATTGATATTTGGCTCCACACTGGTTAAAATTCCTAATAATATGTCTTTTAATGTTTTGTGCTGGCATTGGTCATGTAACAAGTAAATATAATACCATGAGTGTTACCAGGGCTGCCGACAACCAGTATCGCAGCGCAATTTGCGATACATATTTTGTCCGTTGCTAACCAAAAATTAAAATCTAACGTTTTTGATTCGCAGTTACTGCGAATCATTAATATGCCAGTCATTTTGGATATTGACACAAGAATAATCCACATTTTGAAGACTAGAAGGCTTACTCAACACTTTCAACGTGTATAAAATGTTGAATAAAATTTTATAAACAAAACTGAATTCTCCGTGTGACATTTTCTTCTCGAACTGCCCAGACACAATACTATATAACACAGGGACATAACTCTATGAATAGGGACTATTAAACGGGAAATAGAGAATCAAGTAGTACCACTCACGTTGTGAGACATCAAGTAATTATATCATATTCATTTTGAAAGAAATAAATCCAGTGTATCTCCCACGTATTGTAAATAAAATATAAAAAAAATAAACACATGTTAACGTATTGTAAAATGATAAATCAAAGTAAAAATTCCCGTAAAATATTATTGTTTATATCGCGTGTGTCTGGTTAATCGAGGTGCGCCCGATTGAACAAAAATAATAATACACGATAAAAAGCAGACGAAATTGTTTTCTAACGAAGATTTCTAACGTAACAAAAAAATTACAATTAAAATGAGTGGGGCTTCGGAAGTCACTGTCAAGAATTGGCTTCAGACGTAAGACCTAACTAAATGTCTACATCACATTCACAAACTGTCACAAGTACTTGTGGCAGTGCTAAAAAATCTAAGAATAGTCAGAATGGAATCTAATCATATTTCAATTCGTTATGAATTAAAGTAATATCTTGTTATTTAGGTGTTTTACGTTGAAACTGAAAAATTGCTAATCAATTTTTAAATTTGTTAATCAAATTTGGCAAAATTGGACTTTTTGATTAGCAGTGCTGCTAATCAACTGTGAAAAATTACCGACAGCTCTGAGTGTTACCCATTATGTCATATTTCAGGAACTGAAATAAACAGCGTGTGGACATAGAATATTGAATGTATTCTTTAATCAATATGGCTTTGGTTATAACTCATTATATTTGATTTGCCATGATTGGAATCTTTCAATTTCCATACATATATATACATTGTACATGTACATATACATTGTATGTGTGCATTAATGTGGTAACTTTGAAACATTCACTAATTCTCCTTTTTTTCCTCAGATACTGCAGAAGATTTTGCCCTGATTTTATCTGAAGTGTCAAACAACACTGGCTATGGCGTAAATGTTGAAGACATGCGTTGTAAAGTTTTCTTCAACACAACAGAAATATCATATAATATGTATGGTGCAGGAATACGTGTTTATGGAGGTGCTGGCGAAGTTACCATTAATAATACATTATTAGAACAGAATAGTAAATGTGGAGTGAATATAACATATGCTGGAGGCTTTCAACTCATCAATAATTCCAGAATTATAGACAATCATGGTTATGGAGTGATCACAGAGTATGAACGTCTGAATAGAACTAGATTTGAATCTGAGCTACGCTTACAAGTTGTTCGTACACATTTTATTGGTAACGAATGGATTGGTCTTCGTGTGGGAAATTATTGTAAGGGTGGTAATATCTTAGTTAATGAAAGTTACTTTGCGTATAACATGGATGAAGCTATTGAATATTTGTCGTGTAATATATCAACCATGACACCAACTAACTTTAGTGTGGATTTGAATAAATTTGAGGGTAATTTCCGACACGGCATACTTATACATCCCTTGATAAACACTGTTGGAATTATTTCTAATAACACTTTTAAAAATCACAGTATTGGTGCACTGAGAATTGACAATGGATATGATTTGTTAATAAGTCGCTGGTACCGACAATTTCATGTGGATTATAATATCTTTGAAAATAAATTCATGGATAACAATGGCAGATATGCAGCTAGTCTGCGTTTGACCCAAGATTCCCCATTTCAGAAAATGTACTTTAAATATAATGATTTGCGAAACAATGAAATACAGGACATGTTTATGTATCTGAATCCCAGGAATCGTGCCAATGCAGTGCTAGTTGTGTCGTCTGGTAATATAGAAGTCAAACGCAATTGGATTGAAAATCCTGCATCCATACGTGAGATAGCCACCCACTTAATTGACCCGTCTGTCCAAATTGATGGCACACAGAATTATTGGGGATTTACTGTTACAATCAAAGAAAACTTCAAATCTATTCACGAACAGATTTTTGATCAAGACGATCGCTATAATTTAGCACAAATTAATTACTATCCAGTACTTAATACAGAGAGATTGTACGATAATTATTTATCAGATCAAGTGGCTACATATAAATGGCAGTTCAACCGTGGGAATTATATTGGTGGTATTTTGGAAACAGGTATTTTTGAAGTCCAGAATAATGAAGTGTATCATGTGGATCGTGATATTTATATTTATCCAGGAGCAACGTTGAGGGTCAACCCCGGGGCCATCTTAGAATTTGACAGTTCAACAGGTATGGTAGTTCATGGCTGTCTTAAAGCAGATGGAGGAAGGAAGGATGGTGTTATATCATTTAAACTGTGGGAAGAAGAAAATGTAACAGCTGTAGAAAATAGAACCGCTAGTGTAAGATTAATAGATGGATTGGATGAGTATGAAGGACGTTTGGAAGTTGAAATAAATAATGAATGGGGAACAGTTTGTGATTTGGTAAGTACATGTACAGTCGATAAGTTGATATAAATAACGAACAAGCAAAGGGACATTAATTTGGTTCACATGCAGATCATTATTCAATTATTTACCCATCTGTTCTGACCATGATCTTTTCAATCATCTGGGGAAATTGACATAATTTACATTTATGTACATTTATGTAACTGTATAATTTAAACTGATTAGAATGTGCCACAATGCTTCTTTGGAGGATCCTTGATCTATTTTGAAAGTTTCTTTTTTATTTCTTTTATATATTTTACAGGTTTTACATGTGTGATACTTTTTAATAATTTTTTTTTGCTTATTCATTTAAAGAAACTACATGTGTCATATTTTTTTAGGGATGGATGGAACAGAATTCTGTTTTAGTTTGTCAACAACTAGGATTGACGTTTAATCCTGCCATGGCAATAGCTCGACAGCGTTTAGCTGCTACGAGTGAACAAGAGATACTCTTAAGTTGGGTAACGTGTGATGAATTAGATACAGATTTAACTAAATGTAAATCTATTCGTGAATCTCAACCAGACTGTTCACATAATCAGGATGTATTTATACGTTGTCAACCTCCAACCTGGTCTGGTAAGATTCTATGCATTTACTTATTAATTTTGAAATACATCCATGCGTTCTTCTCATCTGTCATCAAAAAATAACTTTTATTGTCTCAAAATTACTGTTGATGGGAAATCATGGCTACTTTCATTTCACTGGGCTAATGTGTGATTAGTCACTTTGTGTGGAGGGATTCGGGGATGGATGGTGTGTCTCCATATGATTTCTGAAATTGCGCAACCAGTAATTCTACAGTTCTTTATTACAGCAGTATTTTCAGTATAATTATTTAAAATGTTTTGTTAACATTTACATGTAGGTGACTGGAAACCACTACTAGTCTTTCCTTTGCCTTAATATACAAAATGTATAATACCAACGGTAACTGTAAAGTCATTAACCTTTTGCAAGAAGTATAAAATGCATTATTAGCCAATAGAAGTTGTGACAGAAGAGATTCTTTCAGCCTTCTTCATATTTTTCAGGCATAACAATTCCACCAACTCAAAAAGATGGTCAGGCTTGTCAAACTCAGATTCGTCATGTTTCTATACAGAAAGCTGGTCTTTTAGATCATTCCACTATGTCATACACACCAGCATTACGAATAGATTACAACTATTTCCAGATTTCATTTATAGAAGTCAGAGATTCACTATCTGATGGTATCCATATTAAATTTAATCATCCCTATAGTGAAAATAAACTGGAGTATGCAAACTTAGTAGGTAATGCTGGGAATGGTCTCGTCACGAGAAGTCCTCGAATTGATGTTCAGTATTCTAATTTTACCAGAAGTGGTGGAGCTGGTTTTGTATACGATAGTTTTTTCACGGAATATGACGCGCTCCTAGTAAGAAACTCCATTCATAGCATCAACAGAATTTATTTGACGAAGACACCATCATATAGACTTGGTGACCGATCGATGGTATATCTGTTGTGTGATACAGGAATAAACAGACAGGATCAAGAATATTATACAGAAATAGAGACTGAAGGATCAAGTCTACGAATAACCCTGCAAGTGTTGGATTATTCACCACAGACAGATATCGAGGAAGTAATTGTGTATGATTCCAAAAAGGCGGACATCATGCCTACCACCAAAAAATGGGTGATAGAAGATGATTTGATTGATTTTCCAGTGGTTTCATCCTCTAATTATCTTACTATCAAATTACATGTGAAAGGAATTAGATCTGGTCGTCTAGCATTTGTGGTTATTTCAGGTATAGTTTATTTAATTCTATATATTTTTAAATAAGCGATATAGACACTAAGTGTATGACAATAAAATGTAGAATAGCATGAAATAAAATGAGGTCATTCAATGTTCAAGAATCCTTTTAATAACTATTTCATTGTACGATGATTAACATTGGTTTATAAAACATGTACCATGTAGATGAAAAGGTCTTTAATTGTGAACAAGACATTCAAATTGTAGCCAGAGCTTCTAGTTTGATCGCGGTTTGGCCCAGAAAGTTCCAGATTGGTTTCAGTGGTGAAGGAAGGAACAGGGTCTAATCTAGGGATTAAAAACCAGGGTCCCTTGTACACATTGGAATTACACAAAGTTTAGTTAAAAATATCGCTGCATGAGAAAAATTAGTCGTAGCCAAAAAGTTGGTGCAGAAAAGTAGGATGTTAAACCCCATTTTATTCAATATGCAGAATTTTCTTTGCTCTTTCTTCTCAGATAAAAATGTTTTGTGGTACATGTATCAGTCAAATACATAATTGAATGATCTTTTCATTGTTTTTCAGAGGGATATCGACCTAATCCTCCTGTGATGCTGACTAAGTTCTTTAACTGTACATTTGATGGCAATAAGCAGGGTATTGTGACATATCATTATAATAATCCATCTAATATCAAGATGGAACTCTATCATAGACATAGACAAGAAACTATATATTTTGAAAGAGTTTATGTTTACAACAGTCAAGCTGAAGCTATGCACATGCCCAGTGTTACTAAATATAATGATGACTACATCCCCACGTTTGAAGAGTTGACAAAACCACAGCGAGTTGCCAGTATCTATTATAATATTAAACTCAGCCATTTTATTGATAATGCTATAGGTATATTGGCCGAACACAACCATGTTGATTTTGCTAACAACGTGTGGCACTGGTCGATAACCGAATCCGAAATCAGGCGATGCAGAGAAGGGGGATTAGAAATTGAGTTGCCTCGAGTTAACGATATGATTGACCGTAAGAAGCACAGTCTTTTATTTACCGAGTCAACAGTTGCTGACAACCAAAACTTTGCATTTTCTCTCAATGGATATTATTGCAATGCCAACATTGTTAATAATAATTTTTTGAATAATGTCTGTCGAAAAGGATTCCTGACAATTTCTGGTATGGAGAAAAACATGAATATCACCAATAATTTATTCCGTAATAACTTTGGTCGATACGTGATTGACATGGATATTACTAGTCATTCAGAATATGCAGACTTAGTTATTGCTAGTATAATGTTAAACGAGTTGTGGAATAATCGTTACTTTGATGGAAGAATTCCTCCTGGTGCAGCTTACAGTGCCAAAACTTATGCTTTGGCAGTTCGGGGTCTTCAAAATGTCATTGCCAACAGGAATATTTTCAACAATCCTGATTTGGGTTATGAATTAGTAGCAGGAATAACAGCTCTTTCTCTCGGTAATCCTGTGAATGTTAAAGAAAATTGGTGGGGGGCCACAGATGATTACACAATTAGAAATCGAATTTTTGACTTCGATGACTGGAATAATTACGTCATAGCCTCTTTTTTCCCATATCTAACTCGAGCAGATGTCAATTCTGACCTAGCCATTGGTGATCCTGTGGATATTCCCCTAGATCCCAGCCGTCTGGGAGGGCGTGTGAACACAAGATTGATTTTACCCTACAAACCAGAACCTTATGTGGTTTATTCTGATCTCACTGTGATGCCAGAAGCCAGTTTAACTATCGAACCTGGAACAGAACTTCATTTCCGGCCAAATGTAGGGATCTTAGTTTTAGGAATACTGAAAGCAGAGGGTTTACCATTCAGTAGAATCAAGATGAAACCACTAAGATCAACTGTGTCTGACATAAATTTGCGTTCTAAGAGAGCCACTTCTAATAATATCCGACTACGAGGTGGGGAAACTCCCAATGAAGGATTCTTAGAACTATACAATTCATCATCAAAATCTTGGAATATTATGTGTGACAGTCAGTTTAATGAGAAGACAGCCGAAGTTGTCTGCAGGGAACTAGGTTTGGAAACCATCAATGTTAGAGTTCGCTTTACTAGTTTATATGATCATTTCATATTTGGAAAACCAATGTATTTTAGAAAAGAGTTCTGGTTTAATAGGTATTATTGTCGTGGGGATGAGACCGATCTACAACAGTGCATGAAAAGATACAATTACAACTTGCTGCCATGTATTTATGCAGCCAATTACACATTTGTTCGTTGCGGGGAACGCAATTTGGAAGATGGCACAGAATATTGGGGGAACATCCGCTTTTCTACACCAGGGTATCAGGAGGAAATTCAGAGAGTGATGCAGGAACGAGAGGAATCGATCATGCAGTATGTTGACATAGAGGGAGCAGGCTTGTTACATGGAGAAAAAGTTGGCGCCATTCAAACTACTTATGTTACTCCACGATTTGAAAACATCAATATTACTAAATGTGTACATAATGGTTATGATATTATAGCTCCTAGAGATATTTTACAAATGAATAAGCAAAATGTGACAAATAATTTAGGTTTTGGAATAAACGTTCTTGTACTGAATGGTAAATCTAACAAAGAGGTCTCAACGTTTAAACCACTAGGTATCAGCACTGTTCCTTACCATGTGTACGGCTTGGTAGATATCTGCCGTATGGAGAAGGAAATCACACTGAACAATAGAATGATTCTTTACTACAAGTACTCACACAAGAGTGTTGATTGCGTAAAGATAATACGCAGTGACAGTTCACTTAAGACCATTGGAGTAAGATTTTTACAGCTTAATCTGTTTGAAGATTACTTTTCCCGTAATGTGATAGAAATATTTGATGGAAAGATAGTTTCTGATAACACAATGCTTGGTGAAATTCGTGCTAACAGCAGTGAGAGAGAAATATTGAAGTTGTTTGAAAGTACAGGAGATACAATAACAGTACATATCCATGCTTCGGTCTCACATGAAACATTTGGTTTTATAGCAGAAGTACTAACAATACCATTTGGTGGACTCACTTATCCTGGTGAGTACATGCAGTGGCGGCGTCAAGGGGGGCGGGGGGAAATAAAACTGGTCTGCCCTTTGTTTGCCCCCCCCCCCTCCTATTGTTTTTTAGAAAAAAGAAAAAGATTTTGTGATATGTTTCGGTAATCAATACCTTCTACGGTGATTAAATCCCACATTCCCACTCAGTCATAAACTTGCATGTTGTAGAGTGGGTGATTTCTTACCGAACCCATCCTGCTGTAAAGCTACTATAAACAATAACATGTAAACCACTTGAGTTTCCGGCGTGGTTCCCCCATGTCAGTGATGCAGGACGGAGGGGCTGACAAGAACAGCTGTCTAGTCGTTCGGAAAGGACAAAAAAACGAGGTCCTGTGTACACATTGGCGTGCACATAAAAGATCCCTTGACAGTTGGAATTCGATATAAGAGTAGGCCGTAGTGCCGCTGTCCGGGCAAAATTTCCCTCATAGCACACTGTGTGGCGTATGCCCGTCTTCATTAGCCCAGTTCGGAGCAAAAAAATAGGACGTTAAACCCCATTTCATTTCATTTCATTTCCACTTGAGCTTGAGAAGTGCTTTTTAAGATCCTCCAAGTTTTTGGGCATAGGTACAATGTGGCAAGAATATTCATTCACTTTTATTCACTCACACCGTTCATTTGATACCTCCCTCTCAGTTCGGATAAGCTAGTGATTTGGTGACAGACAGTATCTGGTCAGCTCTATTTTTCTCAATGACCAGAGTCTGAAAAACTGCCGCCATTGAGTACATGTTTCAGGTTTTTCTTCTATCAAGGAGTTACTGTATAAATACTAATATATAAGAGCATAATGGTGATAATTACAGGTACATCATTGGGTAGTATCAAGAAGAAATTATCATTGTTGTCAAACATAAAACCCCTTAAAACAACAAATTAATCAAAAATGATTACTTGGCTAATCCAGCAATGTCTTTAAATAACATACACATAGTTATAATGGTGAAATGAATTATTTCCAAGTATGACAGAAAAGAGGATACATCAGATTGCATTAATTTCAATATGCATTTATTACACCCTTTTCAGAATGTATGAATCTCTTGTCTTTCAGTATGTTTTTTCTTATTTTACAGATGACAATTATAAACATACATTTTCCAACACTGTCCTAAGAGAAAACCAAGATGGAGCCATACAGTATAAAAACATAGGAGAAATCAGTCCTTCTTTATTTATTAACAAATGTTGGATAGAAGGTAATGGGGTGGCCATTTTGAATTTGACCTCACCCGCCACCATTGATATTTCTCTTTACGGAACAAAACTGTTTGGTTTTGATCACAATTTTGTATCAAGAAATAAAGGTGGCACGTATCTCTCTATGACTACCAGTACCATTGTTACTGCTATAAGAGGAAACTTGACGCACAATGTCTTTGCTTTTGGTACAAATGGAGAAGCTCTGAACATATCTGGCCATTATTATCAAAAACTACTAGTTTACCAGAACTATATTTTTAAAAACACTGCGGGAGATTATAGAGATGTTATTCACATAAAAGATGTAGTGGTTAACTTTACCTATAATGCAGTAAAGGACAACATAGGTCATAATATTTTGGGAGCTTATAATAGTGAACAAGCCCAACAGTTATATACAAGAAATGGATTTGATGGTAATAATGCTACAGCACTGTATGAAAGTACTATTAAAATTGGACGTGGTAAACCACTCTTCAAAAATAATTATTTGGTAAATGATTTGAATGACTTTGAAATGGAAGCTCCTCCTAAAATAGAGTAAGTAATGATAGTATTTCTGTAAATTTGAAAGTTTTTTTATCGTAGACTGCCAAAGTTTTACACAATGTACCCACTGTCAATATAAAACCTGATCGTTCTCCAGGAATAAAACCTGATCATTGCAAGTTCTTTATGCTCCAGGTAAATACACTATTTTTGAAACAAAATGATCAAGGTTACAAATATTTTGAATTTTAAATTTACACCCACAATGAGTCAAATCATGCAAGAGTTTTATATTTATTTATGCTACTAACAAAATGCCATACTTTTTCATTACAGTAATATAGCTATACAAGCTGTAGAGAACTGGTGGGGGTCAGACAGACAAGCATTTATTAGTGGCAAAGTTTGGGATGCATTTGATGAAAAATCTTTGTCTGCAATAACAGTTTCCCCTCCCAAATTATCAAATAGATCTGTTGTGGAAGGTAAGAAGTTTAAGAACATTCTTTTTATGATACTAGAAAATTTAAGGGCCTCTTTGGATACAAAGTTCTGATTGGATTGGAACAGAAATCAAATAAGACTGCAATTTTTAAAAATTTTAAGTGTCATATATTCAGTATTTAATTACCATACTGCCGTCCTGTTTCATTAAGACAGTCACTCACACCAACATCATCATGCATATTCACTGAAGTCACAGATAAAATATTGGGTGGGATATCACAGCTAACTCAGCTTGTTATGTTAATTTGATTATTTTAGGTGATTGTTTACCTGGTTGGAAGTTAGATAATGGTAGATGTTATAGATATATGGGTGCTGCTGTACCCTTTCATGAAGCTATAGAATTCTGCAAGGTAAGTTTTCTTGCCTGTTCAGAAATTGCACAAAAACGGTTTAATTAGGTCACCTTGTACGACCTGAAAATGTATTTTTCACTGAAATGAGAATTGTAAAAAATAGTTTCAGTAAATCTCTTGTGCCCCTAAATCATTTGTTTGTCATTGTATTCCTATCTTCAAATTCTAACTCAAAACTAAACATATAAAGGGGAGTTACACTTGAAGGGAATTTCATAAATGGTTTGGGTCAGTCGAGTTTCAGAACTCAGACGTAAATTAGTGTGGCACATTCATGATGCCTCCATTTTTATACGCCCACATTTTCATGTGGATGCATATTGTCGTCGCCCCTGTCCCTCTACAATTTGTCAGATTTTGATGAAACTTGAAATATAGGTCTATCTCCCAAAGATCTCGGTTCCTTTTGATATTTGCATGTATCGGACCATAACTTGATGGTCACAATTTTAATCCGATTTTGATTTGATGAAACTTGAAATGCATGTTTATAACCCAAATATCTTGTTTCCTTTCGATATTCGCGCATATCGGATCGTAACTTCCTGAACTATGGCCCCTGATTGTACGTTAAATGGAATTTTTAGCTTGTGGTCCCTCTAGAGGTCACAATTTTTATCCGATTTAAAAAAAACGTTTTAGTACATCACCGTTACACCCTAATGATGGTTGAGTTTGAATTTCGTGAAAATCGGACAAAAACTGACAGACAAAATGGCCGCCCCTTGTACGCAAATAGTGTAAAATATGGTATATCAAAGTTGTGGACCCTCTAGAGGTCACAATTTTCAACCGATTTTGATGTTACTTGGAATGCATGTTTATATCCCAAGGATCTTGGGTCCTTTCGATATTTGCGCATATCCGATCATAACTTCCTTAATTATGGCCCCTGATTGTACGCAAAAAAGTGTGGTCCCTCTAGAGGTCAATTATTATCCCATTTCAAAAACGTTCGAAATTATCCCCGTTACACCATAATTTTGGTTGAGTTCGAATTTCGTGAAAACTCAACCAAAACTGCCGGACAAAATGTCCGCCCCTCGTACGCAAATAGTGTAAACATCTGGTATATCAAAGTTATGGACCTTCTAGAGGTCACAATTTTGATCCAGTTTTAATGAAACTTGAAATACATGTTGATAACCCAAAGATCTTGGTTCCTTTCGATATTGGCGCATATTGGATCTTAACTTCCTGAATTATGGCCCTTGATTGTACAAAACATCATGTTTTTAGCTTGTGGTCCCTATAGAGGTCACAATTTTTATACGATTAAAAAAAAAACGTGTAAATATATCACCATTTTATAATCACACATATCCGAACGTAACTTCCTGGATTATGGCCCCTGATTGTTCGAAAAATTGCATTTTTAGCTTGCGAATTCTCTGGAGGTCACAATTTTTTTTTCAAATTTTAAAATCCATTTAAATATATCACCATTTCACCATAATGACGATTGAATTCAAATTTTGGGAATATCGAAATGAAACTGCCCGACAAATTGGCCGCTCTTTGTACGCAAATTGTGTGAAGTGGACCCTGGAGAGGTCACAATTTTTATTTGATTTTCATGAAATTTAAAACATATTTTTATATCCTAAAGATCTCAGTCCCTTTTGATATTTGCACATTTCAGACCATAACTTTTTGGATTATTGCCCCTGATTGTACAAACAATCGTGTTTGTTTTTAGCTTGTTCTCTATTCATCTTGTGCAAAATGTGGGCGTATCCTGTCTGGCCTCTGTAACACTAAATTCCGCTGAAGTATGGTCTAGACTGGTTATATTATGGTGATCCAGTTTTTACTCTTGATGCGCATGGTGATATAATAACATACACTGTAAAGTTGATATCGTAGACGTAGCATAAAATAACAGATCAAAATTGTCATTTTATATACATATTTTTGATTAGTTAGTTAAAAGTGTTAGTAATCAGGCAATAGTCATTAAGTCGGTGTTAACTGGTGACTATTTGAATGATATACACCACTATTAGCTAGGTTTGTATATTCAATAGTGATGGGTATTAGAATTAGCCACACTCTTACACTAGTAGTGGGATTTTTTACAGCTAATTACACACATGCTAATTAATGACTACTGTATAATTCCTAACCACATTCTATACATATACATGTACTACAAATTAGTAAAAATAACAATCACTTGTATGATTTATAATATACATGTACTACAAATTAGTAAGAATAACAATCACTTGTATGATTTATAATGACAGAATTGTCATTACGGTACTAAGAGACTCAGGTTCATAAGTCAATGGTATCAGCTCACACCAGTGATATACAATGTAATTTATATCTCAACATTAAATGGATGTACAGGTGACTACTTTAATCTTCTTACTATATATTCTTGTTTTTGTAGCTAAATGAAGGGTACTTAGCTGATGCTAGGAATAGAGGACGTTTCTTGGAGTATTTATTACGATTAATGCGTAATGTGAATGAACCACAGATGAGAGTATGGGTAAATGGTGAAGTACGATCACGAAGATGTAGTTCGTTTGAATATGATTACGTTGTTGAAGAAGAAGATTGTACCAGATTATTATATCCTTTTATATGTGAAAAAGGTGAGCCGATGTTTAAATTTCATTTATTAAAATCTCACAGTGACCTTAAGGACATCTTTGCAGTCACAACAAATTGCAGTGGGTTTTAGTATGTAAATCAGATACTATGACAAAAGATAAAAGACAATTAAGCTTGTTTGAAAATTTCTAATCAAAATATTAAGCCATATGGAAATGATTGCTACAGATTGTTGCATAGGAATAGGATAAAGGTTTGCAAGAGTCTTGCAACTCCAATCAACCAGTTTTATTCACCCCTTTGTATATCAAAGGTATGAACAGTAGGATGTTAAACCCAATTTCATTTCATTTCTTAAATGTATGTTGTTTTTTATTTATCACAGATCCATATATACAGAGACCAGATGAGTCAACAATCAATGCTCTGGCTATAGGTATAGGAGCTGGTGTAGGTAGTGTTATTATTATCATACTACTTGTTATCTGTATACTCATGATTATTAAATCACGACAGAGAAAGATACAACGATTTGAGAGAACCGCTTCAATGAGGTCATCAATCAGGGGATCTATAAGATCGAAATCTTTGAACACCATCTTAACCACAGGAACTCTTTCTCGAACACATATCGATCAAGATGAACGCTATTCACAGTCTTCATATGGAACTAAGGCTTCTTATTCTCAAAATGGTTCTAACCCCACGGTCAATGGCAGTATGGGTAGTCTTCATAGTTTACGTGCCAACAGACGAGGATATAATCCACCAACAACAGAAATGGAGAGAAAGAGACGAGAAGCAGAAGAAGGTGAGCGTAGAGCACGTGAAAATCACGCATACAAAGATTCAACCATGGAGGATGAAGATTCCTATGATGAAGATGAATTCTCGGAAGTAGAGAGTCAAAATGAAGAAACCAGTCCTGTTCAAAATAATAATAAATATGACAATGTGCCGGGCTACAAACCACAGAATCGGGTCGTAGCAGAAATAAACAGTGCTCAAAGATCTCAGTCTAGTGGCATGATTTTTCCTAATGATGCATTTGCCAGTGAATTAGAGAACAGAAGTAAATCATTGTCCAGTTTTAGTAACGATAGTAGTACACCAACAACCCCAATTAAAGAAAATATATTTTTACCAGGCAGAAGTGAGCTTCCTCCTCCACCTCCAGATCCACGAATGACATACAACCCACCAACACCTGTTCAAAGAGACTACACAGACTCTCCCAAACCATCACCACGCACTGTCAGACCAGTACCGCCAACCAGAACGCCAAGAACCTATCATTCACAGGATAGTTTGGATGGCCCACATAATAATTTACAAGGAAGTATGGCAGGTGCACGACACCATAAATCACAAGGTAGTATGAATGTTTCAGAGAAAAGCTACCCTACACAAGACTGGGGTAGTAGACACTATGATCTACCACCTATGAATTATCAACCACCTTCTTACGAAGAAGCGTCTGCTGATTCTTTTGATAACTACCAACCCTATGTAGCTCCAGGCATAGATACCATCAGAGCATCACCTTCTCCTCTCATCTACCCTGGTACAGACACAATGAGGAATCCCAATACATATTACCGTAATTCGCCCACACCTTCACATACCAGTGGACAACCATCACATGTTCGCTATATGCCAGAAGGTAACACCCTGTATTTGAATAATAGTCAGAATACTTTACAACGTAGAGATGATCCTATAGAGACAGAAATATAACTCAATATAATTATTTGAATAAATTCCCGAGAAAAATCAGAATAAAAAATATTTTTGGACAGATATCAAATCTGCATATATTTACAATTTAAGAATATCTGTACATTTTAAATAATGTTGAATCTTTTTAAAAATTTAATTGAAATTAAAGCAGTCACCTAAGAAAAATGAAATGAACGTCAATTATAAAATTCTACGCAATTTTTATGCGCCCACATTTTCATGTGGACGTATATTGTCGTCATCCCTGTTCGTCTGTCCACAATTTGTTTGTGGACACTCTACAAGTCACAATTCTTATTCGATTTTGACGAAACTTGAAATAGGTTTATCTCCAAAAGATCTCAGTTCAATTCGATATTGGCATGTTTCGGATCGAAACCTCATGGATTATGGCCCCTGATTGTACGAAAAATCACATTTTTAGCTGGTGGACACTCTAGAGGTCACAATTTTCATCTGATTTTGATGAAATTGGAAATGCCTGTTTATAACCCAAAGATCTTGGTTCCTGTCGATATTTGCCCATATCGGATTGTAACTTCCTGAATTATTGCCCTTGATTGTACGAAATATCGCATTTTTAGCTTGTGGTCCCTCTAGAGGTCACAATTTTTTATCTGATTTAAAAAAAATGATTGAATATATCACTGTTACACCCTTATGATAGTTAAGTTCAAATTTCGTAAAAACCGGACCAAATCTGCCACACAAAATGGCTTCGCCTTGCACGCAAATACATGTAGTGTAAAAGTATGTAATACCAAGGTTGTGGACTCTAGAAGTCACAATTTTTATCTGATTTTGATGCAACTTAAAATATATCTTTATGTCGATTTCAATATTCGCGCATTTCAGACTATAACTTCCTGGATTATGTCCCCTGATTCTACAAAAAATTGCTTTTTTTTTTAGCGTGTTTCATATCCATCTATTGCAAAATATGGGTGTATCTTGCCTGGCAACCGCTGCTACCTTGTGTTCAAGCATTTCCGTATGCAAACAGCACTTTTTTATGTATGTACATGTGTATTATTTTAATGATGATCTCTAATCCTACTAGATTTGTAAATAGAAATAATCATAAATACTTTAATGTCATAATGTTTGTATTTAATTGTTTTAACAATAGTACATTCCATATCAAGTATTAACATTAAAGATGTATTGTGCATATAAAAATTTCATCTGTATGATTGCATTTCTTTCTATAAACGAAAATAGATTGATAAAATATTATATTTAATTCTGTGATTTCAGTGTAATACACAATATTAGACATAGAATTAATAAATTACAAAAATATACCAATATGCTGTAGGTTAATGATGTATCATTTGGTCTCATTTAATATCTGATGTAAATATATATGATGTACTTTACATGATAAAAATTGTATTATATATTTTTTACTTAAAATATTTACACCACATTCCCCCCATTATGGAAAGAATATATAATTTTAATATTCACACAATATGTATATAATATTTACTAATATATGATAGAATTATTTTTTTTACATATTTAGAATGTAAAGGTGCCTATATTTATTATTAATTATAAATAAGCAGCTAGATTTTTTCAAATATCTTATTTTCATCATCCCATACATTAAATTGCTTGATAACTGGAGAAAAAATCCAGTTAGAATATTGTTTATGAATTATTTATTTTATTGCTCAAAAGTTTTGCCAATGTATAAAGGCTTATCAAGGCCGTACCAAAAATGTGATTTGCGGGTGGGGGGTGGTGGAGTTTTTATTTGGGCTAAAAATCACATTGATCTGATCATGAACCTATTCATTTAAAATTTTTATAGAGCTACTTCCTATAATTTACATGTGATTATCAAACAATCTAATTAAATTACAGATCTATATTTCGTTCCATTTATTTATACAATGTAGCCTACTTTTGATGGCCTACGCTACATGAAGATCTGACCAGTTGTAGTGGAATGTTTTATACGAGCCGCGTTTGACCTTATGACGTCAGACATTGATTAATCAATCAGCGTTGACGTTTCTAGTGGTTTACCCAAAGTTCCATGCACCTTATGCAAAAAACTCACCGTAACAGACCGTTTCATTGGCTAATACCTCACATCTTTCAGAATGCGGGTTATATAACAACTCTTCAGGATCACATTGTAGTAAAGACAAGTAAAACAAAATTTTGATCTATTGAAAAACAAAACGAAATCAGATTGATTATCAAGAAGACTGTTTATTACTTTTTAAAAATAACACCAGATCATGCGATCCTTTTGAAGTAATGCAGGATTATCTGAAAACCAGAATTTTTATTTTTTATAGACGAAAACATTTATTGATCAATAAGGGCTGTTGCATACTGGAATGTCCATAATTTTAAAATACGAACATGAATTTTTGTATGTTCTGCACATTTTTATTATAAACAATTAAATTGTTTTTAGTAATTTATATAATGGTCAAGCACTTGTTGGGGGTATGTTGACTTTAATATTTTCTTTAGAAAAACAGGTCTGTTTATTTAATGACTGTTTATTTAGTTTGATTGACTTGTGGTTCGGCCACCATCTCTCTTTCTCTGGTATTCATCTTGGCTCTAATCTTTCATCCTCATTTTTATACGAACAGATTTTATACAAATATATTGTAACATACCATTCCATGTTATCTTTTAAGATTAAATGTTTACATAAAAATAATCTTTTGAATGTTTTTTTTACAATTCTTGACCTAAATATCTATTTTTCTAATGAGAATGGTTATCTCAAAACCTTTATTAATGCTTGCCATTCAAACCAGACATAGCTGAATCTTAGAGCAGTTGGGTGACAGAATGATCAACAATCTATTTTAGCATATTTTACCCAGTTGGACCAAAAGAGGTACATATTTTACAAGCATTTGCATATTGGTCATCACAAAATTTTTACCTGGACAGATCAACAAATAAACTGGGTTTAACGTTCGGTTCTTCTGCACCACGTGGATTAATGAAGACAGCTATACGTCATGCAATGCGCTATGATGGGCCATTTTGCCCGGAAAGTGTTGTTTCCACCAACTCTTCTGTAAAATCCTGATGTTGTCCTTGCAAACTCCCTGTAAGTTTTCTGGCGAGGATTCCAGTTGTCTTTGGTGCTGGACAGGGCTGGGGGTGCAGGTGTGTTGAGTCTGTCGGGTGGGAAGATAAACCAAGAAACCCTGACGGTTGGCATTTCTGTTTGAAAGAAATTACTTAAAGCAAATGTTTGAAAATATTACCTGTAGCCCAGGTGCAGACAAAATCTTAGTCCGGATCTGATAGTGGAAACATTGAAATGAAATGGGGTTTAATGTCCTACTGTTCTGCTCCGACTGGCTAATGAATACATTGTGTTATGAGGGAATTTTTGCCCCGACAGCGCCACTGACTACAACATGGAATTCCAACGGTCAAGGGGGCTTTTACTTGCACGCCAATGTGTACGGGACCTGGGTTTTTTGTTCCACCTGAACGACTATACGCTGCCCATTGCCAGGCCCTCCATCTTGCACCTTTGACGTGGGGAACCACACCCGAAAATCCTGATGAACTTTCTCGACCAACACTCAAATTGAACACCAACACTCAGATTGAACACCAACACTCAGATTGAACACGGGACCTCAAGGTTAGCAAGCTTAATGTCTTACTAACCGATTCGTACTAGAGCGGAGAAAGAATGCTATGTATGGATAATAGAAATAGTAAGTGCCCCAAACATTGACAAACCCCCATAAAACAAACCCACTGTAAGTAAGTCCTGATAGCAGTATGCATAAGGGAGGGGGACTATACGCTGCCCATTGCCACACCCGAAAATCCTGATGAACTTTCTCGACCTAAAACTAGAAAGGCTTGTCCTCAGTGTGCCCCTCTGAAATGTGATCCACTGTGCCCCATCATCAACCACGACAGAAAATTGAAAATGGCAGGTTGACATGTGACAGTATTAAGAAACAAAATATTTCTGATGGGAGCCTGTTACTATAGATATCTCCATCATCCAGAATTTAAATTTCGTGGGCTCTATCAAAATCTGGAGTAGCCAAGCAGTCTACCCAGTCCATCCAAAATTTACTATTGCGCCAGAAAAATGGTTAATGAGTGATAAATATTAAATAGCTTAGAATTTGTTGAATTTAGGAGGACAAATGGACCTATAAGGAATCGGGTTAGAGTGCGACGTGTTTGAATTTTGAACATTACCATGCTGATGTACGTAAACTTGACGGTTCATGGGGAATGGCACCATGGACACGCCTCCTTTAAGAGAAGAGTTTAGGGTACACCCCCCCACCCCCCGTTCGGATTCGGTTTAGCTACCGGCTAAAGCAAAGTCTGACTTACGGTGCCCTATGGCTTGCCCTGCCCTGCTCTCACCTCCAAGTTACTGTTTGGGGCTTAATCGTCACCTTCCAGGGTATATTCTGACACCCCGGCAGATAATCAGGCCCTATAGGGCCCGAGCCTGCACAGTAGCCTAAATGTATATTGGTCAGCATGTTTAACAGATGTATTGTGACAGCCTTCATCAAGTGAATATAAATTTGGTATGTCATGGCTCATTTGTGATAAATCTCAGTTTCTGTGTTTTACTAAGTCTTAGCAAAGTGATCTCCAATCCCAGATACGTCAAAATTACGCTAGAGACCATATCTTTCAAAAATTTCGAGGTTGGGGGGAAGAACGACCCTGGACCCCTGGACCCCCTCGCCTCGGGCACAAGTCATATCATTCACAAAGAAATGAAATGAAATGAAATGGGGTTTAACGTACTGTTCTGCTCCTATACTGGGATAATGGAGACGGGCATAGGCTACGCCATACAGTGTGCTATGAGGGAAATTTTGCCCGGGCAGCGGCACTATCGCCTACTCTTTTATATCGAATTCCAACTGCCAAGGGATCTTTTACATGCATTCCAATGTATACACGGGACCTCAGTTTTCCGTGTCATCCGAAAGACTAGACTGTCAGGCCCTCCGTAGAGTAAAAATTAAGAATGGTGTGGGAAAAACTCTATAGTCTACTATGTAGTCCAGGAGCTAATAAATAATATAGTATTAGATGGACACACTACATTTATTTAATTTAGTACCGTACATTTACTTTTAATATGATCGTAGTTAATTAACATTTAAACCTTATAATTAATCGATTTGAATAATTATTGGACAAAATGTTTTATAATAAACTTCTTTTGATTTTATTTGGTCTTAAACTCTATATTTAATCTTTATTTTGACATTAAAGGAATTACAATAATGCTATTACAATCGACTCGCTGGGGGGTTTTTTTTTCGTTTCTGACCATTTTACAATCCAAATTTTTACTCAACCAATAGCCTCGTTTTGGATCGGAGGGCTTTACGATTTCAGAAAATGTAATATCAAATGTCCACACATTTTCAATAATTTAGAAAAAAAATAAATAGTAAAAACATGTGTCAGTTATGAGGAGAACAACATCGACGCGTCGAAGTGTCAAAGGAGAAGAAACTACTGTTGATAAAAGTGTGATAAATCCCACATCAAAATCCCCAAAGAAGGCAACCTCAACAAAAAGATCTGACGCTCGTATTGACAAAAATGATGTGGTGGTTGACAGGAAAAGAACAGATGACAATCCTACGAAAGTAAAAGTGCCCAAAAGTGCAAAATGTGCAAGAAAAACTAGATCTTTAAAATCTTTACAAGAACAATCTATACCAAAGACTGAGCCACCAGAATGTGATATAACGCCACCCAGATGGAATGGAAAGAATAATGTCACCAACAAAATCGGTGATGCTAGCACAGTACATGTAAATCTGCAGGGTATGATTTAGATTATGATTAGGCCTACTGCTTCTCCATAATTTTTTGGCTCAGACTTGTAATTTATCTGTAACCTGTGCTCTCACTTCCATTTTTTTTTTTTTTTTTTAATAATAACTATTTCAACTCCCACGCCCTCCATGATTGGGTATTGTTATGTCCCTGTTATATTTTTTTTTTAATTTACATATAATACATGGGGCCATATTTTATTAGATAATAATAATATTATTACCCGGTATATAAAAATGACAAATATTGATTGAAAATTAGTAGGATATATGTTCATAAAAATTAACTACATAGTAAATGGTTATTACTAGCAATAAACTACACAATAAATGTACCGTATCAACAGACTTTTGAAATTAAATCCACATTACTTTGAAAATGTGTATAACTCCAGTAACTACTAACAAGATACAAGAACCTAATTAATTAAGTCATACCCTTTGTTAATTAATGATTAGCCTACAAACCCAATATACAATCAGATAGGGAAAATAGGTTTGTAATTTGTATTGAAATTTGAATGTTATACTGTCATCAAGCATTTTTAAGTGAATAGTTGGTTATAAGTTTAATTATTAAATCACAGTAAACTTAAACTATATATGTAACAGCAAGAAATAATGACTACTGGAGTACTGACTGCATTTATAGTAAATTGTATTTTTGTATTTTGTTTAGAAGAAAGTCCAAGTTATACACAGAAAGGTAAAAGGATAAAAGAAATATTTCAGGATGAATTTTTATGTTCTCAGAGTAACACAGATGAGCTGTGTGATGTTCGCTGGGAATGTAGCTCTCCTGATGTTTATAAACATCTGTCAAAAAGTAAGTTTACTATCAATCTAATTTGTTTACTATCATCAATATTGACATGCAAATCAGTGACAAACCATGTGATACTACCTGGAAGTGTCTTTCTTACTGTTGTAAATGGCCCGTAAGCAAAGGTGTTAAATTTTAATTTCATTGTTATTGTTATTTCATATTCTGTATTTGTTTACTAATACATGTACTATTCACATATTAGTTTTATTTGCATATACATATGTACATAGGTAGTAATAATTCAGTAATTGTATAATAAAATTATACCTTGTGCAAATTAAAACAGGTTTATAATAATTTATATGTGTTTAATTTTATATACCAATAATAACATATATATACCATATAACTTATATCTAGACTCAAGAATGTGTATTTATCAAAAATCAAAGCTCTGGTTTACTTAATGCAACACATTTACCACCAATGTCAACTGACTTGCTTGAAAACTAGTACAGTCAGTAATGTATGAGAATCGTAATAGCTCAATGTTGGAAATGGATTGATAGATTTTCTAATATTTGCATACAGTCTAATTTGAACAACATATACTCTTCAAAAAAGTAGGGGATATTGAAATGCAAATACCTATTATGCAGGCTGTAATATGATAAATAGTCATGGACACTTGACATGCTTTGAGAGGATGTTCACAGATGAAGAACTTATCGCCCCAACAGAACCACTGAGCTGCACGTTCGACCCGCAATAGCGCCATACACGTGGGAGGGGTTCATTGTCAAATTTGACACTTCAAGGAAGGGTTGATGAAAACTGCCGCTTGCTGGTTTATCCTATCCATGGTTGCTTTCCTATCGGTTCTTGCATAAGATTTACTGTTTACGTATCTTTGCTTTAGTGTGTTACGTTTAATTTAATCGGGAGGCGTGTTCGTCGACGTCAACGTCAACCGACAACACTGCAAGAATTGGCCGTGGCACTGCAAGAGGAGTGGGTCAGATTGCCCCAAATCGTGATTGGACGGTTGATTAGGAGCATGCCACGACGAATTGCTGAATGTCTGAGGATTGGTGGAGCAATTACTCATATTAATACAAAAATCAAAAACGTCCATTTTCACTTTTGACAGTGTATCTCTTTGCAAGTGAAATGGGGCCGTCAGATAAGCCGCCCATATGAACTGTTTATGTTCATGTGTAGGCAATTGGCCTGTTATTAACATACACTGGTTACCTCAGTCTAATAGAAACAGCAGTGCATTTCCGCAGTTTTGTATTGTTTCTGAATATCCCCTACTTTTTTTGAAGAGTATATATTATATACTGTATAGTCAGTTTGCTGCAATTGGTAGTTACAATAATTACATTCCAACAGATTGCCGAAGATATGAAAAGCCTTTTTTAGTAAGTGGTTTTTTTTATTTCAGAATCCAATAAGACAAGAGAAACAGTCGCTGATATAGCCCACAGATTGAGAGTATCAGAAGATGATATTAATGTAAGTAAATCTTTGTTACAACTTATAATATAAATGGTATCAATAGCACACAGTTTGTTGAAAAGTAGGTAATGTCTGTAGTTTAGATTAATTTAATTTCATATTGCATATATGGACAAATGTGCAAAATGGTGTGCCTTTATAACAAATGAAATATAGAATTACAAAAAATCATGAAAAGTCTGAAAAAGAAAATCAAGATAACAGTTTACCCACAATAGAACAGACAATTTATTTGTAGGATAGTGCATGATATTATTGAAGTTTTTATTGTGACAAATAAAAGTGAAGCTCAGTAAAGACAGGTGGGAGTCAACCGTGTACAATTTATCATTGCCGGGTATACATGTACCACACAGTATTGCTTATTTAGTTACATGTAAAGGATACAAAGACTTGTGGACCCTCTAGAGGCTAAAGTTAATATTCGATTGACTTTAAATTTATACCATTACCATATTTGGGTAAGTCACAAGTGTTTCATTTGGGCACCCTTTCACATCAACTCATCAACCTTATTTTATTTAATTGGACTAATGTGTGCACCTGATGGCTGGACAACAGTAATCAAGTTCCAGAAATGGATGGTGGCAGAATTTCCAGTGAGTTGGTCTAAGAAAGTTGTAGAATAATGCAAGGTAGCTAATTAGCCTAAATCTGTCACAACTTTAATACATTAAGCAGACCACCTTTCATTGAACTAAAATAACCCCTATAGTATAGTATTACACAGCATTGTATTAGGCATTATAACTTTACAGTTTGACCATATTTTTTTTTCAGCCTGTAGAACCAGAATTACAAGCGAAGTCTTTATTAGGGTTATGGTTACCAGAAAGTAATGGTGGAAGTTCAAAAAGACTAAAACGGTATTATATTATTTGTATTCTTTTGTCAGTCGGCTATAACACATTGCCCTTCTTTATATAAATTTTACTGTGAAAGGTTATGTTCACTGTGAGAAACATTCAATGCCATATCCTGATGGTTGATGTGTTTAAAAATTCTGAAAAATAACATTGACTGACTTATCATACTATAAAAGAACGATTTGGTGTAGCATGTTAACTCAGGGTGATGTAACACATGCACTTTAGATCTTAAGATCTGTCATCGAGTCAAATGGCATGGTTTTCCCTGTCTAACCTTGTGGATTTTCTAAGGATTCTTCTCACCTCTAATGACCCCTACTCGCAAGCGCGTTATTGAAATAAAATTGAACCACATTTTAGTCTAATAATAGCCCAAAAATGACTTGTTGGACATTAAACCTCATTTCTAACTCCAGACTTAGATAATTAAAACAAACATGAATCTTTTTAGTGGCGGAATTAAGAAAAAGAGAAAAGCTGCTCCAATTATACCAGAAAAATATCAAAAATTATTAGAAGAATGGAATGCAAGAAAAAATTCAGGTATAGTAATACTTTAGTGAACATCTATAAAGATATGTCTTTTTATAATAAATTGATTTTCACTTTTTTTAGGATTTGTACAGGTCACAATTTTTATCCGATTTTTATGAAACTTGAAATATAAGTTTATCTCCCAAAAATCTTAGTTTCTTTCGATATTGGCATGTATCGGACCAGAACTTCATGGATTATGGCCCCTGATTGTATGAAAAATCACATTTTTAGCTTGTGGACACTCTAGAGGTCACAATTTTGATCCGATTATGACAAAACTTGAAATACATGTTTATAACCCAAAGTTCTTGGTTCCTTTTGATATTCGCCCATATCAGATCGCAACGTCCTGATTTATTGCCCTTGATTGTACGAAAAATCGCATTTTTAGCTTGTGATCCCTCTAGAGGTCACAATTTTTATCCAATTAAAAAACCCCATTTAAATATATCACTGTTACACCCTTATGATGGCTGAGTTTGAATTTCGTGAAAATCAGACAAAAACTGCCAGACAAAGTGGCCGCCACTTGTATGCAAATAGTGTAAACATATGGTATATCAAGGTTGTTGACACTCTAGAGGTCACAATTTTTATCCGATTTTGATGAAACTTGAAACACATGTTTATAACCCAAAGATCTTGGTTCCTTTTGATATTCGCGCATATCGGATCATAACTTCCTGAAGTATGGCCCTTGAATGTACGAAAAATCACGTTTTTAGCTACTGGTCCATCTAGAGGTCACAATTTTTATCCTATTTAAAAAAACGTGTGCATATATCACTGTTACATCCTAATGATGGTCGAGTTCGAACTTCGTGAAAATCGGACCAAAACTGCCAGACAAAATGTCTGCCCCTCATATGCAAATAGTGTAAAAATAAGGTATATCAAGGTTGTGGACCCTCTAGGGCAGTGATTCTCAACCAGTGTGCCGCACATGGCACACTAAGAAAATGCATAAAACCATGTGATCCCAATTGAAAATTCACTAGGGTCTACTGATAAATCCATAGCTGTGTTTTTATATGCCCACGTTTTCATGTGGACGTATATTGTCGTCGCCCCTGTCCGTCCGTCCACAATTGTTTGTGAACAGTCTACAGGTCACAATTTTTATCCGATTTCAATGAAAGTTGAAATGTAGGTTTATCACCCTATGATCCCAGTTTCTTTCGATATTGGCATGTATCGGACTGTAACTTCATGGATTATGGCCCCTGATTGTACGAAAAATCACGTTTTTAGCTTGTGAACACTGTAGATGTCACAATTTTTATCCGATTTGGTTTAAACTTGACATGTATGTTTATAACCCACAGATCTCGGTTCCTTTCGATATTCGCGCATATCGGACCATAACTTCCTGAATTATGGCCCCTGATTGTACGAAAAATCATGTTTTTTAGCTTGTGGACCCCGTAGAGGTCACAATTTTTATCCGATTTAAAAAACTGTTACAATATATCACCGTTGAACCCTAAGGATGGTTGAGTTTGAATTTCGTAAAAATTGGACCGAAACTGACTGACAAAATAGCTGCCCCTCGTTCGCAAATGGTGTCAAAATATTGAGTATCAGGGTTGTGGACTCTCTGGAGGGCACAATTTTCATCTGATTTTGATGAAACTTGAAGTTCATATTCATAACCCACAGATCTCGGTTCCTTTAGATATTTGCGCATATCAAACCATAACTTCCTGAATTATGGCCCCTGATTGTACGAAAAATCGTGTTTTTAGCTTGTTGACCCTATAGAAGTCACAATTTTTATCCGATTTAAAAAATCGTTTGAATATATCACCATTACACACTAAGATCTTGGTTCCTTTTGATAGTCGCGGATACCCAACCTAACTTCCTGGATTATGGCCCCTGATTGTTTGCAAAAACGCATATTTAGCTTGCAGATTCTCTAGAAGTCCTGATTTTAAAAACCGTTTAAATACATCACCATTCTGCCATAATGAAGGTTGAATTCGTATTTCGGGAAGATCGAAATGAAACTACCCGACAAAATGGCCGCTCTTTGTACGCAAATTGTGTAGAAGTGTGTAATACGAAGGTTGTGGACCCTCTAGAGGTCACAATTTTTATCTGATTTTGATGAAACTTAAAACATATCTTTATATCCCAAAGATCTCTGTCCCTTTTGATATTTGCACATTTCAGGCCATAACTTTCTGGATTATGGCCAATGATTGTATGGAAAATTGCTTTTGTTTTTAGCTTGTTCTCTATTCATCTCTTGCAAAATGTGGGCTTATCCAGCCTGGCACCGGCTGGTTGTATATAAAAATTATCATCCATTTTGACGGAAAAAAAAAGCCAGTGTAAGCCCTGAGTATAATAAGTACTGTAAATAACTATTTGGTTAGATATCCGAATGCAGGATAAAGAGCTATATTTTATTCTAACCAAAGTTTAATTTATATTTTAGAAAATAAGGTTGTTCCTGGAACAGAAAGGTAGGAATCATTGTTCATAATTTTTACAAAATAGTCTCAATAAATCTCCCCTATTGACTTTCACTTGTAGTTTTATAGTGTAGGTCACAAATTTAATTGTTAATCTATTTGAAGACAATAATAATGATTTATTAATTTATTTAGATGCAAGTAGTTTTACATTTTGTGTAGCATAAAGTCCTTCTTTTCCCGTGCCATATTGAAATGGGATTCATCCTATATCTTTCTTTATGAAACTTTGTACATGCATCAAACTATCAAACTATTATAATAGTTGTTCTCTTTGTTAATTTGAAATTTGTCAGTTGAATGATTTTTATGAATGTATTTGACTTATTTTTTTGGGAATGCAATTAATATATTTTTTAGGCCATGTGCTTTGATCTTGTCATGTATGACAGAACACAGTTTTTATGGGATACAATCACTAGTTTATTCTAAAAGCACGACGTTTCGACAAGTATCCTCTTATCGTTATCAAGCACAAATGACAATTTAGTAAACTTGTGGACAATATATATGAAATTAATAAGAAACCATCTGCATGGATTAAGAATAACAGTAATAGAAATAATCAAGGTGTAAAGGATATTTAACAATAACAACAAACATAACAAGGTAATTAGCTACTAATAAGCACTGATACTGCATGATTAGAGGGTTATTAACAGTTATGAAGCCCTTCAAAAGGGTAGCATGTATGGATAGTGGGAAGTTGATAAAGCACAGGTAGTGAGGCCATGTGCATGAAGTTGAATGAGATTGCATTATATAGGTACAACTATAACAATACACAATTTGTACTAAGAAAACAAGAACAAAAATCCTCTAAAAATATAAGGGACATGTTGGGAGAATCTATAATATCGAAAATTTATTAATGAGATGGGGTGGGGGCGGGGATTTTAGTACAACCAAAGATGGCTTAATAGTTAAATTATGTTGTGCATCTTAATTACATCATCATATGCCCTGGGGATGTAGAGCCCTAAGTCCCTATTGAGTTCAGGTGAATGTCTTCTGATATTTATAGCTTCTAGGATCTTCCTGGTTTTCTTGTTCTGTTGGTTGGCGGTTAGTATCTGGACCTCATTCCATTTAACTCTGTGTTGTGGGTGATTCTGGAGATGTTCCGCTATGGCTGAGTTATTAGTAGCGGCTTTGGACTTATGTTCCGTTATCCTTTTGTCAATGGGTCGTTTCGTTTCCCCGATATATGTAGCCTTGCAGGAACAAACCACTTGATAGACGACTCCTTTGGGTTGGGTGGGGAGAATTGGTTGCAACTTGCCGTTGGCTTTCAATATCTGTTTCAGGGTGGTCGGGACCGAAAATGTGGTGTCAATGTTTGATTTCTTTAGTAGGTTGCTCACTCTGTATGTTAAATTACCATAAAAGGGCAAGGTTATTCTGATGGGTGATTTTTCAGGTTTTTGATAATCTTTACTGGTGGTTTTGATAGTTTCATTGATCTGCTTTTTCACTAGTAACGGGGGATAATTATTCAGGTTACAAAACACGTGGCGTAAATGGTCCAATTCATTCTGCAGGAATTCGGGTTCACAAATGTTGATTGCTCTGCGTGCTAGGGTGGAAATAAGGGCTCTTTTGATATAATGGGGATGACTGGAGTTGTAATTGATATATTGGTCTGTGTGGGTCGGTTTGCGGTATATTTTAGTTTTCATTTGATTATTGACTTTTATAACTTGTACATCTAAGAATGGTAGGGTATTTTCTTTTTCTGTTTCGATAGTGAATTTAATTCTAGGATGCTGTTTGTTCAGGTGTTCAAGCAGGGACATAGGTTCATCATTTTCATCAAGCACAACAAACGTATCATCGACCTTGCGAAGCCAAATGATTGGAGTGATGGGAGAGGTTCTTAGGGCACAGTTTTCAAATTCAGTCATGAAGATTTCAGAGATTAAGGGTGATAGGGGACTACCCATGGGCAAACCGTTGACTTGCTTGTATATGTCGTCACCCCAGGTGAAGAATGTCGAATCAAGGCACATAGTAACTAAATCAAGGATACTATCGGTTGACAACTTAGTTTCTAGGGGTGCTTCTAATTCATTTAATCGAGTGCGGAGGACTTCAATAGCTTCTTGACGAGGAACGTTGGTAAAAAGATCAACCACATCGTACGACACAATCTTCCCAGGGCGGTTTAGGTCTCTAATAGTGTTGCAAAAACCACCAGAGTCTTTGATGAAGGACGTAGATGAAGTTCCTAATGGAGCAAGTAGCTTAGACATGTGTTTAGCAACGTTGTAAAAAACTGAATCTCTTGAACAGACTAATAACCTGGCCTTGATCGGGTTTTTGTGGGTCTTGATGGTGGCTCGGGCGTAAGGAGGACGTGGGTGGTTTGGTTTTAACTGGTAAGAAAGATCTTTGGTTAGTTGTTGGGAGTCACATAATTCTTTAAGCTTATCATTTAGTTGTTTTTCTAATGTTGTTGTTGGATTTTTCCTGATTTTTCTGTAGGTTGTGGCATCATTGAGCAGTTGGTTGACGGTTGAATTGTATTCGTCGGTGTTCATGACCACAGTTGATTTACCTTTGTCGGCTGGTATTATCGTTATAGACTTGTCGTTTTTTAGTTCTTGTATAGCTTTGGTCTCACCTTTGGTAATGTTGTGGGAGTTCTTCTTTGTGGTGGATTTAATAATTAGGTTGGCTATCTGGTGGCGAAGGAAATCAACTTTTCCCCCTGGTGCTAGTTGGCATAGACCTTTCTCAATGTTGGCGATAAAAACATCATGATTTCTTGGTGTCCAGGATGGGGCAAACTTCAGGCCCTTAGAAAGTAAACTGATTTGGTCATTGGTTAGATCATTGCTGCTGAGGTTGACAACTGTTTTAGTAAGGAAGTCAGTCTTTAGCATAGTTGTATCTGTTTTCTTGGTTGTTACATTATCTTTCTTTAGTTGTTCAAACTTTTTGAGGTGTCGGTGTTTAATTCTTTCTTCGCTGGCTTGGTTGGTGGAAGTCTGAGCCTTGCGGATGGAATTAAAATCCTCTGTAGTAACTAGATGATTAAGTGTCAGATGTGATGCTCCAATATCTTGCAGAAGTCGGTGCTTAGTATTCCGGTGATGTTGAATGCGTTCACGTACTAGGGATTTACTAGCTTGAAGTAAGATCTTATTTGCAGCATTGGAGTTAACTGGACCCTTAAGTTTTAATCCATGTGGCACAATTTCACTGTCTCTACATCTCATGAGAAAGGTTAAGTTATTACACACTCTTATATATTTATCTTCAAGTTTACTAATCTGGCGAACACACTTAGTTGCCACATCCCCATATTGACGTTGAACATATTCTTTAAGTGGCATTTAGCGATCAGGGAACAAATTAACAGAACACAGTTTTTATGGGATACAATCACTAGTTTATTCTAAAAGCACGACGTTTCGACAAGTATCCTCTTATCGTTATCAAGCACAAATGACAATTTAGTAAACTTGTGGACAATATATATGAAATTAATAAGAAACCATCTGCATGGATTAAGAATAA